GAGAGTAAATATAGTATTTTTTCCCTTTTTTGACACAGCCTAATACTAGTTTTTCCTTCTCATTTTTTGTGTCGTGAATAAGAACACTGTCACAGTTGTTATGGTTTTTCTAGGATACACAGGAATGTTTTTTGACATGAGCATTTTATTGTAAGTATGGTATACACGAGACTGCAAGCTTGAAGCAAAGCTGGTATTCTTTACATGGGCGAGTTTGTGATCTGACCATTCCCTTCCTGTTGTTTGCTTGCTGTGGATGAAAGAGCTCACAGCTGTCAGACACCTTTCCTCTCCCCACTGTGTTCTGTGGAGAATAGGAGCAATATGCCCCCTGAGGTAGCAGAAGCAGTTGCTTCATTTAATTGTCTGTACGACAGCTGTCAATGCTGATCTGCAAAACCAGGCTGGTAAAGATGCTAAATGCAACTTAGTGCTTCCCACAGGAGATTCCTCTTGTGTAGTCCAGAGGAAAATCTGTTTTAGATGGATACCTAGTTATTACATTGTCTGTAAATGGAATAATCTCCTTGACCTTAATGAAAAAGGTATGGAAATGGATGGCAACTGTAATATTTAACACCTATATTTCTTTATCAAAAATTACTGTTAAATTTTACTAAGAAGTAACATGGTTAAAAACTCACTTGACCTTGTGTCATAATTTGATCACAATTGTGGAAACAATTCCTTAAAATCGATCTTGTCATTCAGAACACAATTAATTTCCTGTGAAAAGAGCTGAGTTAAAAAGGGAACAATAATTCCTCAACTAAATCCCCCTAGACTTGGAAAGAAACATTGGGAAACTATTCTGGCTTGGATTTCAAGAATGTGTAGGAGCTCTGGCTTTAGTCTGAGCTGAGGTGTAGAAATCTAAAAAGTGTTAATCTGCAAGAAACCTGCCCTTGGGAACTTGCATTATTTTAAGGTAGAATACTAATTTCTGTGTCTGCTGTTTGAAGCTTTCCAAATGTGAACTGGAACTGTCTTCTCAAGCCTGTGGATGGCTTCCGGTGCTGCTGCTGGCAACAGCTTTTTCACCTGCAGTGCAGGTAAACTGAGAAATGCTGTTTGCTGCATCACTGAATTGCTCAGTTCAGTAGTAGCCAGTGTTTTGTTAGGTTTTTTTCCTTTGGGATGCTCGAAAGAAAAGCATATGTGTGCATATGCATGCATACCCAGATGTGTATGAGAAGGTAAAAGTTGGATGAAAAAAGGCATGGTATTAAAAAAACCCTAAAAAAACCCCAAAAAAACCCCACCCAACCAAAACCAAAAAACAACCCTTGAGAAAAAGGAAAGAAATATGTTGAGAAGGGGAAGAAAAAAAATGTTGTTTGCAGGACCCTTATAAGCCCACAAAAGGAGTTTTCTGAAAATATATTTACTTTGAAATGTTTCTTTCTTTGGACAATTACAAAGATGGAGTTGAAACAAATTTAATGTTTCCAAGATTTTGAGCAAATTATACTTCCATATTGATGAATTGCGACATCATATATGATTCCATCCTTTAAACAGTAATAAATCACCCAACCCACAAACACATACATTTCCCATATGGAGAGCTGGGAATACTAATTGTCTCTAAAAAGGTGTTTAGCATGAGCTTAAGGAAACTTTTCACTTTAATAAAGCAAAAGCATAAAATAAGTCACTGGCATAATAATGCCATCATTCTTTTTGTTGTTTTTATTCTTAATATATGTGCTTAATTCTGGGCTCCTCAGTACGAGAAAGACAAGGAGCTGCTGGAGAGGGTCTAGCATTGGCCAGATAAGATATGATAAAGGATCTGGAGCATCTCTTGTGAGGGAAAAACTGAACCTGTTTAGTCTGGAGAAGACTGAGAGGGGAATCTCATTTATGCATATAAATAATCCCCAGGCAGGTGCCAAGAGGATGGTGCCAGATTCTTCAGTGGTTTCCAGTGACAGGCCGAGGAGCAGTGGCCATAAGTTAAAACACAAGAACTTCCACCTCAGCATGAGGAAGAACTTCTTTCCATGGAGGATGGCAGAACACTGGGAGAGCTGCCCACTGAGGGTGTGGAGTCTCCCTCTCTGGAGACATTCTGAACCCATTGGACACATACCTGTGTCACCTGCTCCAGGTGACCCTGCCTTGGCAAGGCTGTTGGACTGGGTGATATCCAGAAGTCCCTTACAGCCTTAAAAATTACGTGGTTCTGTGTGATTCTGTGTTGTAAAGTCATTGGTAGTACAGGAGTTAGCAATGTTGTCCATGTGCATTTCAAAGGTATTAAAGGGTCTCTGTTAAATTCTAGACTGGGGCATCTTAGTATTCTCCTATATTCCTAGTTTCTGGGTGTTGGGCTCTATATATTTCTCAGTTCCTGCTGAGTCACCTTGACATCCCTTAAATTAGTGCTGGATAGCATGAAAAATAGAACACTTTGAGTACAGCCTAAGAGCAGCGTCACAACAGGGACCTTGGCTCATGGTCCCATGATAATCACAGGCTCATTCTTCTGTCTCAGTTGTCAGTGCTCAGTGGGGTGAGTACCTTCACAGGTCTTCTTCAAACTTCTCTTGGTCTTTTGTGAGTGAATGCAGTTCTTTACAGTTCAGAAACTAGCCCAAATAAGCAGTTTGTGTCAAAGCCAACACTCACCTCAGACTGCCTTTGAACTGTTTTCACTGTTCTTGATTGGACTGTTTGGGCATGCAGAAAGAATGAAAATAACATATTACTTGCTTTGCTGTGTAACTAATGGATATTTGATGTTTCCAAGTCTTGTGCATTTGAAATGGTGTATCAGTAAAATCTAGGGGAGGTGATAGAAATAGTGTGAGCAAAGAAATGGAGAACGAAGTGGAAAAACTGAGTTTCTGCAGAAAAGAGAAAAGCTTTAAAAATGACAGCCTCAGTCTGACTGGGCAGTGAGTGCCATGTCCAGGTTTTGAAAGGCTGGTGAGTTTGTGAGGTTGGTTTGTTTTTTTTTTTACATTTGTCTTGGTTTTTTTGTGAAGTAGTAAGTCTTCTCACAGTTCTCAGAAGCATTTTGCATAGAGAATTTCTTTTCTTACTCATGGCTTAGCTCTTATCTTGCCCTGCCGCAACTCTGGGTTTGCCGGTTCTCAGAGACCCAGTGGGAGCAGTGCTGAGCTGGTTAAACTGGGTTTCATCAGTTCATGCTATATCCAGAGCCACCGGTGTTGTTTGCCCTGTGTACTGAGCTCCAGCAGGGAGGCACAAGGACTCAGAGCCATGGAAATCAGGCACCCTGTGAGCCAAGGAGCTCAGGCTGTGCTGGCTGCCACAGGGCTGCACCTCCAGAGCGCTGCCAGGACAAGCGCAGAAAATGAGCAGGGTTAACTTCTCTTGCTAATTGCAGGTAGAAAAGAGGCAGCCTGTTTCAATTACAATATAAATTACAACTTTTCCAGTCGTTCATTGGATTCCTGTTGCACTTTCTTCTGAACAGGAGCTACTTAGAGCTTTTTTGCTGTAAAAATTTACTTGCAGAGATAAGTCTTCACTTGTTGATGAGATGTTTAGCCTAAGAAGCTCTTGCCAAAACTAAGACAGAATGAGAACATCAGAAATAGAGAAGAAAATCAGTATTCCATGACTGTTTAGCAAGCAAAACGTTTTGTTTCAAAGCTGGCTTTGTGTGTGTAAATTGTTACTGTTTTAGTATGTATTTGGTCTGAGTTTAAAAAGCTGGAGAGAAATAATCTAATTCTGAGGTAGAGTTGAATCAATTTTTAATGCAAAGGAGCAACATTCGGTACTGAATTGAGGAGAATTGCAGCTGTTTGAATGAAATGCATCCCAATTAAGTCACAACAGCACTTTGAAGAGAAGTGAACCCTGAAAGAGAAATGAGCAGTAATGTGGCACATCCTAACCCTTGAAATTCAAGCACAAAATGCAGAGCTTTTTGGCATTATGAGACGAACTCGCTTTTTGAATCCAGTTGCAAATTCCAATGTTCTGAAATTAGATAAAGTTTTCAGAGGTATTGTTTGTGCGAGTAAACACTCCTACTGCTGTTCCTTGTGATACAGGACTGGATTAAAAGTTCTGAGTACTTTTTGTTGTAGTGACTGAATTACTGTAACTGAAAAAATTGAAAGCAAAGTAGATTTTCAGAAAAATAGCACCACCATGTTGCAGAGATGTTTGTATTCTGATTCTGTTCTTTAATTAGTGGATTGATTGCGTGCCTATGGAGGGGGGGCAGGTATAGAGCAAAACACGGGACACTCCCTCTGGAAAGGTAGAAAATGTAGCGGCAGGATGTTCTCTATGCATTTCCTGCTGCCTTCCTGCCATTTTCGGGCCTTGGGCTCTGCTGCATTTTCCTCCCTCATGCTGTTTTCTCCTTTCTAAATGTTTGCTTGTCAGGACACACTAAGTAGTGCTCTTTTAAGCAGAAATGCAGGTATGTCAATATTGTCATAATGTTACTGTTTAATCTAGTAACCTTAGAGAGGACCTTGTTATTTCTGCAGTGCTACTGTTCACCAAAATGATTAGCACTAAACTGAAGTCCATTAAATGTGACCTGTGTGCATAATACAGTAGCACAGGTACTGTAATCTGTAGCTGGGTGTTCATGAATTAATGCTAATCTGCATGCAGTTAAAACAAGCTAAAGGGAAGTGTAAGTGCAAATGTTAGGATGTAAATACAACTGATTGGACAAGCTACATCTACTGCAATCTTAACAAGCGACCAAGAGAGCCTATATCACAAATGCTGTTTGTAGTCTTGCTCTTGAAACTTCTTTATAACTTCAAACTCTGTAATCTATTTTGCCTATTCTTCCCCCCGCTCCCTTCAAGAGGAGCACAGGAAGTTCAGCTGTGACATATAAAGGCAGGAAATGTGTAATGAATGAGCTAGGCCAACTCCTTCTGTAGCTATTCTATATGAATATTAATGTTACTTTTGAATGTAAGTTTCTGTTTGTGGTATTATACAACTATTCAAAGTGAAGTCTAATCTTTGGGGTTTTTTTTCCTCCTTAGAGCACAACAATGGAAGAAACAGCTATATGGGAACAACACACAGTGACTCTTCACAGGGTGAGTTCATACAATTGGCTGTGTGTGCCTAATGCAGGATACTGGTAGTTTTTGAAAACAATAGGAAAAAGCCAGATGTCAGGAAGTAAAAGGAAAGGAAACTGTCATATTCCCTTGTTTAAATTTAGAAGTGTTGTAAAAGCTCCATGTGATAGCTCTATTTGTTTGTTGGGCTTCAGAGATAAGCCTGCCTACGAATAACCACGCTAGAAACAAAGCTTTAGATTACATCTGTACCTAACTGAAGGGAGGTAGAAATCTGTGTTCATTCATGGTAGGGCTGTAACTATGCTTGAAAGTTTTAAAACTTTATTTTCAGTGACATAAAACAATGTAATTGCATATAAATAAATGTATTCAAATCTGTCTTATTTGCTTGCTGCTTTCTCAAACCACTGGCTGGAAGCAGTGATTCTGGGTGGTCAGAATGTGTACCCTGCACAAAGGAATGTGTGCTGGGAACCAGTGAATAGCAAGACCGCTTTTGCATTTAGACTCCTCTTGTTTGAGTTACTCCTAAATTGAGTTCTGATGTAGCTATCGTGAAGCTGTACAAGAGAGTCAGTAAGGAATTAATTGCTTAGGAAAAGTCAGAGTGTGATGCCATTTCTGGCAGCAATTTAGTATTAAAGCAGCCACGGAAACATGGTCCAAATAGCTGCATTCATCCCAAAAACAGGGAGATGTGGAAGTGTTGTCTCAAGGGAGCAAGTTATACAATTTGCCTTCAGTTCATCATAGAATAAAGGCGTTTTAAAATTGTAGCACTGGTGGGATGAATGGACCTTGTACAAAAATGCCCATGTGTAGGTCAGCTGGTCAGATAAAATGTTAATTCTCTGTCAGACCTGTTAACTGTTGATTCTAAAGGCTTTAATGTTGTTGATTCAAAGTAACTGTTCGGGTAGGTGCCCTTTTGTGAACACTCAGTTTGACCAGAGGGCTGACAAAGTATCCCATCTCTGTCTGCAGCCACATGATGAAAGGGAAGTATGAGTAAAAATTACAATGTGTAGTGATATTTATCTAATTTATCTAATATCTAATGTTATCTAATTTATCTAATATTCTTAATATTAGATATTTTTAAGTCAACAAGTTTTTTAGCAAGAAGTGTTATTTCTATATATAATTAACTGCCTTTTATATTTTCATCTTGAAACTGTCCAGTCATCCCTGTAATCTCTGTAAACTTCAGGTTTTTTACTCATATTACTGATTAAATAAGTACTGCTTTATAGTCAAACAAAAAATGCCACAGTAATATAAGGTTGGCTCGTAGGCTTGGTGATAGCTCACTTTCCCTTGAAGGGCACCTTTTCCTGGTCAGTTGGAGCAGTAATTTCAGTGACACCAGAAGTGAGACGTTTAGTCCATGCACAAACAAATAATGAAATGCTGTTACTTATATGGTGTTATGTTGAACAAAATTTTAAATAATTGGAAGGGACCAGAGATCTCATTTTTGGTTGGACTTGCAGATAGTCAGAGGTTCTTTTATAGCACTGATGTAAAAGTATAACTGTAATTATAATTTCACTTATGATCTTTTATGTGCCAAAATTCTGCCAACTCTTCTGGTATAACTGTTTTGTTACCTGATTAAGTAGCTCTTACTTAGGTGTTGAAAGCTGATGATAGGTACTGTTAATAACTTCAATAGTATTAATTTAGTCAGTTAAAAACAGTTATTTCCATCTGCCAGATAACAAAACCAAACCCCTTATGCTAATATGAAACAAATATGTGCTTAGAATTACCCTTAACCCTGGGAAGAGGATTTACTGCTGAACTCCAGCACTACTGTCAAAAGACTCATTAGAAAGTTTTTTGAGAAGCAGAGACTAGAATTTCTCACCAAGAGGTTTTGATGCCTTTCTTTACCACCCTTCCAGCTTCCTGGACTGAACTGCTACTTAACTCTTTAAGAGACTGCTACTTAACTCTTAATTGAGACTTAATCTTAACAGTCTCAAACTCAGTTAAAACTTATTAGATAGCTACAGTTACCTTTTATTGAGAGATCTTCTGATACTTAATTGCAAAGTACTCAAGGGAGGAATCATGCACTTTGTTTATCACCTGGGTTTTTTTCCTACTTGGAGCTAAGCTCTGTGGGAGATGTGTGTCCTTTCCCCAAAACATAGAAACCAGGTATGTACCTACCTTTTTGACTGTCCCACACTACATTACTGTGAGAAAGTTGAATAGTACAGCTCTTTTTTTTGTGTTTTTTCTGCAACATCTGAATACTTTTTGTTGTAGTGGCTGAATTACGGTTATGACTGAGTGACAGGTGAAGTTCTGATACAAGGATATTTTTTTTAAATGCTGTTTTACTTAAAGTATATATTAGTATCTCGTATAATTTGTAGTGATCGACATCTTGCTATTTCCAGACATGTCTAGGAGCTGGGCTCAGTTTTCAGAGAGCAGTTCTGATAATCAGTTGTCTCTCAAGATGATGGTAGGCAGCAGGATAAAATGGAAAGTAGGTAGGCTGTTTTTTACTGGAAGGTTTTTTGTGACCTTTTAAATCTTCAGAAGAATTTAGGATTTCATTCTTGACTTTGGAGTATTTCTGAAGACCTTGATTTATCTTATTAGAAACTCTGTATCTGACTTGTTTGGCCTGTTAAGTGTTGTCTGTATATGAGACTGCATTGTTTCAGGGCTTCTGGAAGAGAGCATTAAAATATGAAACAGTCATCACCATACTGGTGATTTGATTTGCAAATACACTTTTAAAACGTAGTATGGCAAGCAGCAAGATAAGATTTGCAGTGAGTTTCTGCCCCCCTTAGCTTGATTTTTGTATTTCTTACCATGAGTGGAGAATTTAAAAATATTTTTATTTATGGTGAATGAAAGATAGAGAATATTTAAATCAAATTTGACATAAATGTCTTTGTTATTATCTCTTTTCTCCCTTTCCTTCCCCACCCAAATACAGTGCAAACCAAGTTGTGGTTGTTAAAATAATGGAAAACTAAAAGCAGGAGTGTCATGAGAGTGGAAATATTATGTTTTGATAGGGGTTTTAGTAACATTTTTGTGTAGGCTATTATATATTCTCTTTGACTTTAAAAAATAAAACTGAAAAAGCCCCTCAGGTCTGGTCACGAGTGGACATTTGAGAGCCTCCTTCATGGCACCAAGTTTCACTTAATTCTTGCATCCCTGCCACAATTTCTGGTTGATCTGTCTGGGAGGTATTTTGAAAAGAAGTCCATTTATCCTCTAATGAATTAAAATGGATATAAAAGAAGCAGTAAGGTGTGCCCTTCCCCAGTCCCCTACACTTAGACCGACTTCCTTCTTGGCAACAGCATGGACCAACTACTCAACTCCATTTCTGAACACTGAATCTCCAAATCTGGATTTTAATGCTGTTCCTATTCACTCCTCACAGGCAAAACTGAAACATCTTTTTATAACCTTTGTTTTGGGAGGAAATAGGAAACAAGTAGGTTTTGGGCAGTAATTGATGTCCAAAAAACTGAATGTCATGTGTCTTGCAGCCAGATGCAGACTGCCATGTTGCCTCTGCTGTCACTTTTGGGTTATGAAACTCTCTGCTAAAGCTGGGTCATGTTTGTTAAAAAGTCTGGAAAAGAGAAAGTGAAGTCTGCCAGCACAAAGTGTGTGCTCTCTGAAAGAGAGAAGTGAGATTGACCCAAACGTGATCTTTTCCATCCAGTGACTGCATTTTGCATAGTTAAAAATGGCAGAATAAATTCTTGAGTAAAAGACAGCATTTAAATAGTAATATCCTCAAAATGTTTTCTGGGCAGTGATGAAAGAGCTAGATGGTTTGCAGATCGGTTATATTTAGAAAGCTTATTTCCCACCCTCGCTGCTTCCAGGCAGAAATGTAAGCATCATTGTTGGATCTTGAAATATCTAACAGGAATAACTTTTCAGAGGCATTGACCTTGCTGTAGTGGCAGGTCACCCTAGAGGGAAAAGATTGAAGCAAATTACTTTTGTTAAGATGCAGATGATTTGCAAGTGCTGACAAGGTTTTGATGTATTTAATGGTACAAGTGATCTTGGTATTATTTGTAAGAACTGAGCCTGCAGTCATACTACTCTGTGCAGCAATCCTGTCAGTTCCTGAGCGAAGTGAGGTCGAGCTGGGTAAATACCATCATGGGAAAACTCAAAGAAAGTGTTGCAGGAAATGATATAAGGGTTTGAGTTAGAGTTGCAGCTCAGTGGAATGGTTTGTTGTGCTTACTGAAGACTGAGGTCTTGCTGATGACCACCTGAGGTCTAGGCCATAATAATCCAAATGAGAACTCTAGTCTCTTAGTCTAGAGTAGTGACTCCAAAAACCTCTGCCTTCTGAAAGTGTTTCTTTTTAATCTATCCCCTGTTACTGGATTGCATAGCATTGATTGGTTCATTGATCCTGCTTTTCTTTCAAAAACTTGTATTCATCTCATGGGACCTTTTTGTGTTTGGCATGGGAATGCAAATTGTGACTATTAGATATTGGAAAGTAAAAATATTGCTTTTGTTACATTATAGGCCCCTGGATTTGGATTTGGTATTGCAATATCTGGAGGAAGAGATAATCCTCACTTTCAGAGTGGTGAGACATCAATAGTTATTTCTGATGTGCTGAAAGGAGGCCCAGCAGAAGGACTGCTACAGTAAGTGCCAAACTATACCTCGGTTCTGATACAGGGGCATTCATTCATCTTTGTCCGTAGTAGCTTAACCTCCTGATTGCTTTGGGATCAAGTTGTCTGTAACTGTTGGTGTAGTGGGTTTGTAATACAGGCACTTTGCTCAGGGGCACCTATTCACCAATATTTTCTTCTTAGCATAAGGTATTTATACTGTACATTGTGATGTTTTTCATGTAGAGAAAATGACCGTGTTGCAATGGTTAATGGAGTTTCAATGGATAATGTCGAGCATGCATTTGCTGTTCAGCAGCTGAGGAAAAGTGGGAAGAATGCCAAAATTGTAAGTGAATGTCTTGAAGATTTAAAGTTTCATCATTATAGAGTAAAAGTACAATAGTGTAATGTCTGCTATAAAATATGGGCATGATGCAAGGTACTTGAATAACACCTGTGTGATGTTTCAGGTTTAAGTGATAATCATGGCATGTTTATCAAGTGGGTCACTCAGAATGTTTTTTGAAATGTGAATGATGATGACTGCATAGTGTAGCATGGGATAATTCAGACTCCTTTATGGTAAAGTTCTTCTCAGATTGCCAAATTGTGGCAAGTCAGCTTTGTTTAAAATTTGTTTGCTTTGTTGGATGCACTTTTACTGAGTTTTTCAAAGGCTGGCGTATGCTAAAGGACAAGCTGTTCAGGCACTAACACAGTTCTTTTTGTGTTCAGTAAACAGTTTGCCAAAATAAAGTATAATTAACTTAATTCCTATAATTTTGTAGGCTTATTCTAAGTGGTTGGTATTTGAACTTTTGCAAAACAGAACAGGTCATCCCCAAAGGGTAATCCAGCTTTCTATAGAAGTTTGAGGGTTATGTTACAGAAAAATAGCACCAAAAATGCACAATGTTTAGAAGTTTCTTAATGAAAAGAGACTTCTGGGGCTTGTAGAAAAGCTTTTCTGCTGACAGATTTTTAGTGCATTTGTGTGCTTTAATGCAGTTGCAAAAAAAGTGTAATGTTCCACGTTTGTAGATTTGGCAGCAGTTCTTCAAAGCTTACAGAAAGCAATGTGTGGCAAGCTGTGCAGGGCTTTCAGTGTGTTAAATATTTGGTGTGTAGATTTATATTTTTTAAAAAAGTAATTAATGAAAACTTTATGGTAGGACTTGGTTTGGTTCTGTAATGCATAGCAAAGAAATCTCTGAGCAAGGCCTGGCTCATATTGTAGAACCAGCTAAGTTGTACAAACCAACTTTGAACTTCCAGAGTGACTGCTCCCCTTCCTCTGTGTCTTGCATAAACATTTCTTTGGAAGACTGGGAGACTTCAAAGTTGAGGAGAATTACTGTCAAGAGCATACTGAGTATACACTAGATTACATGTTAGCAAAGAAAGGGTTTTAGCAGTGCCAGTAACTGATTTTGTGGTTTTAAGCAAAGAGGGCATTCAAATATGTAGCTCTGAAGACAGAATTTTGTGTTGTGCTACCAAGTCTATTGATTGTTACCCTTTTGCCACTTGTACAAAAACATTGAAAAAGACTAAAATAACTGTAAAAACAGGTTTCTAGTAATCTGTATTGATTGGTCTCCTGTATTAATTTGATATAATTTTATAATGCAGATGCAACCCTTCAGAGCATCCACAAATGCATCTGCATGTTTTGAATGCTGGGATTAGCTTGGCTTCTGACATTTAGTAGCACCATTAGCATTACACAGCCAGAGGCTGATATTTGCTGTTGGGTTGTAGACTATCCGAAGGATGAAGAAAATTCAGATTCCAGTGACTCGACCAGACCCTGAACCAGTGTCTGAAAACGAGGACGACAGCTACGATGAGGAAATCCGGGATCCAAGGAGCAGCCGTGGTGGTCCCAGTGCCAGCAGGAGGCACGAGAAGAGCTGGGTCAGAGATCGCAGCGCGAGCAGGGAGAGGAGCTTGTCTCCGAGGTCAGACAGGAGGTCTGTCACCTCCAGCCAGCCTGCAAAGCCCACCAAAGTCACTCTGGTGAAATCCAGGAAAAATGAAGGTAACTTGTGTGTACATCTCTTGCTAATACTTTTTGCTGGTGTTGTGAAGCCAGCTGCTTCGCTCGGTGTTGGGCTAAAGGCTGTGTGGGCCGAATGAACTGTGCTGTTTCCAGTTTTCCCATTTTATCAGTAGCTGGCTCAAAACTTATAAAGTGCTATTGTATTTCATATTCCAAAATCTGTGTGCTTAGTTAAGGGTAAAGTATTATATAGTGTAAACAAATCCCAACTGCAGCCAACATCTGATAGTCAGCAGCTACATAGCTACACTTTAGCTGAGTCTTCAGTGGGTGTCTTGTTTGGAAGAGGGAAATTTGTAGATAACATCTAAGTGAAGCTGTTGAGCAGCAGTTCTGATTATAGGCAGTGTTAGAAAAAGATTGATATAACGGTGAAGCTATAACATATTCTGCTACAGCACTTTGTGTTGCCTGTGTAAATACTATATAAAACAGTCCGTGAATCTCTAGATACCTCCCTCTGTTCTACTCTAACTTCATCAGTTTTCTTTTCTCTTTTATTATACAGAGTATGGTCTGCGGTTGGCAAGTCACATATTTGTGAAAGAAATATCACAGGATAGCCTGGCAGCAAGAGATGGCAATATCCAGGAAGGAGATGTTGTACTGAAGGTACAGTATATGGTGGTGGTGGTTGTTCAAAGGCAAAACTCACTGATACAACTCTGCCTAGAACTGGCAGTAACATGATTGAACAAAGAACAAAGATCAGTAACATGATTATAGTTAATAGAAGGTGTGTCACTTTTCATTACAAAGATCAAATTTAATATGAATCCACTTCCCTAAGGAAAGGAAAACTACGACATATTTTTGGTATTGTTCCTTAAGTGTTTGTTATTCAGACAAATAATGCCCACTGTAAATACATAGTAAAGATTATTTGAAAAAGTATGAAGCTTTACTTAGTTATAAGTAAAATGTTGTGGAACGTTAATACTTGCCTTCGGGTAAATTTTTTTTTTTGGTTGGGGTTTTTTTTAGAAATACCCAGGGGTTAATTTTTTATGCCCCACCCCTAGCAGTATCCAAGGCAAGTGGATGGGGCTTTAAGCATCCTGGTCTAGTGGGAGGTGTCCCTGCCCATGGCAAGGTGGTTGTAACTGGATGGTCTTTGAGGTCCCTTCCAAATGAGGTCGTTCCATGATTTTTTAATTCATACTAACAATTTTTATTTCAATGTAGTGCTGTGAATGTGTTGGTGCAAATAAATGGACCATTCTTAGCTCAGTTGTGTATAGCAGTGCTGGTTCAGAAAACATAACTAATATTTTACGAGTTTTCTATTAGTGCTAGAAGCTTTGACTTTGAAAACTGCAAATAATTTTCTTTATTATGCAATATTTTGGATGTGCCTAATGGTCTTCCATTGAATTATGGTAATTTGATTTTTTAACTATTTCTAAATATCATCAGACAGAACACCATTCTTTATGCTGGAGATTCATTGGGGTTTTTTTATGAAGTTTATATCTGTTCTTTTTTCCTGCTCTATTCCAGATAAATGGCACAGTGACGGAAAATATGTCCTTAGCAGATGCCAAAACATTAATAGAAAGGTCAAAAGGCAAATTGAAGATGGTTGTTCAGCGAGATGAACGAGCCACACTCTTGAATGTCCCTGATCTTTCTGACAGTATTCATTCTGCTAATGCTTCAGAAAGAGATGGTGAGTATAAAAATTTGATTTCTAAAGAGGAAAAAACTCTGTAAAGAAAAAGATACAGTCCCTATTCTTGTGGCTGTTCTTTCAGGAATATTAAATTTGATTTTTGTGGAATAATAAGCATAGATTTAACATCTTCATAAAAATTCTCTGCAAAAGCTTATTCCCATTTAAGCAGGTCATGCCACCATTTAAATTACAGTCATTTCATGAAAAACAACTTTTATTTAACAGACATTTCAGAAATTCAGTCGCTGGCATCAGATCATTCCAACCGATCACATGACAGGCCCCGCCGCAGTCGTTCACGATCTCCTGACCAGAGGTCAGAGCCTTCAGACCATTCCAGACATTCTCCACAGCAGCCCAGCAACGGCAGGTGATGGCAGCGTTGTATTATTTTTAAATCAACTATTTAATGTAACATATAAGTTGCAGGAGTGCTTGGATTTAAATGGTGTAACAAATGTGAAGCAGAACTATGGAGGCAGTAATATGCCATTCTTTGTCTCAAGAGATGCAGATAATAATGATCCAAATACTTTAGACTTGAGGAGAAACTGAACATTTCTTTATTGTTACATTTTTTTTAAACATAATCATAGAGCATGGTTGTATGAATGACAATGTAAGTTTGATAGCAATATATGTTACTGAATAATGTGTAGTTGCATTTTGGTTTTGGAAAGCAGTTAGCTATGAGGAGATTTGAGATGACCTGTAGCACAGTTCCTGTTGCATGTCCAGTCTGGGTAAACTTGTTGATATTTTGCTTTCTTTAGGCATAGGGGTTATCTTATGTCTCTGAATACATTTAATTCCTACAAAACAAGGTGTATTGCACAGCAGATTTAACTTTTGCACTCTACATTTTAATATTTGAACTTGGTAAAAGAGGATTGATCATAATTCTTCAGTATGTGAGTCTAATTTTATAGGAATTCAGAGACAAGTAATGTACTGTATGGTTTGGAATTTTTTCTTCTGCCATATGAAACTTGAGTCCTGAATTACAAATCTGCCCAGTTTTGCATTTCCACAGTTTGGAAATAGACATTCTAATTTCTTGAAATAGTGTTTCAGTGTTGGATTTCAAATTCTACTAAATATTTGAAAAAGAAAAGTTTCTCTTGTGACTGCTCATGATATGATAGAACAGTAATTACAATTGATCTGTGCAAATTCCAAATTCAGAGCCTCTATCTGAAGGTTTTTAGATTCTGTTCAAAAACTCTGAAAAAATGCATTGCAACTGGCCATTTCATTAAAGATATGCCTGATTGCTTATTAATAAAATTGGCTTACCCAAGGGCAAAATAACAGACCTTCAAGGCTCTTAGAGGCTTTTAAAGGTCAATACAACTGCAGAAGAGATTGTACCTGCACATACACCTGCTTGGGGTTATGGGGGTTACAGGTATTTTTGCTTCTCTTTCGTGTACATTGTTCAGAGGGACCACAAGGCATGAAAGCTTGTTTTCAAGTAGGAACTGCATTCATGGAAAAAACTTAAAAGCAGGGTCCCAGAGGCAGGATTTTGACTGTGAAGGTTGTGAGATCTCTGTTATATTTCAAAACTGTATGTCTTGACATGCATTTCTAGTGCAGTCTGATAGGGCTTGCTGGAGGGAGGAACATAAAAAGAAAATCTATCAGAACTATGACTGACTTAGCTTAGTGTTAGTGCTTTCCTGTCCTACTGCAGTGGTTTAGTGGTAGATGGTCACTTCCTGTAGACCAAACTGTTGGAAGAATCAAATCCTCCCCGAGAGAGAACTTTGAAGTTATCTCAACTCTGAATGCATCCGTTATATCTTCTTTATGAGCAAGAGCTACTTTGGCATGGCTTGACTTCCTGTGCAACATGTCCCTTTCAAGATCAGAAAATCTGGGCCCTGAGCCATGTAAAGAAAAACATGTTGAGAGAAACTTCTCTTTGTAATGGTTGTTTGTGTAAGTTTAAATCTACTGTAAGATCAAATTAGTTGTTAACTACTTATTCTTTTTTGAGTTTGGTGGAAAATCTGGAGGAAGAAAAAGGCTTGAGAAAGGGCTGAGGAAGAAATGTGCAAAAAGTCTTCCAACTAAGCTTAAGGAGGATGTTAAAAATGTATTGATGATAATGAGTCTTTATTTAGATACTGTTCTGCCAAGTGTTTGTATGTTAATGAGGAGGGAAGTTCCAGGGGAATCCTCTTAGTCCTTTCATACAAGCTTAAGTACAGACTGACATTTCTGCCTGTGCACCAGAGTACAGAAATCTGTTAACAGAGCTGCTTTAGTATTGCTTTGGGGTCTGGCAGGGTCTTCAATGCTGTCCACCTTTCAGTGTTCCTCACTGGGATGTGCACCAGCCTGCTTGCAATGTTCCTGGATATAGGGTTTCCATAACAATTGGTGTTTGATTATTCTGTCAAAGCATTAAATAGGGCTTTAGTTTTCTTTAGTCTAAAGAAAGTTCGTAGATGTCTCTTGAACAGTCTTCTAAAAACTCAAATTCTAAAGCATTTTTCTTAGTAACAGAAAGGGCTAATTGTGCTTTCTATATAACCTATGAAGAGTTGTACTTAAAGTGTTAGAATGAGCAAAGTCTCTGCACCTAAGCTGGAGAGTACCTCAGGACAAGTTTCACACATCCTTCCTTAGCTATCTGGTCTTACTGCTGGCACTAAGAAGCTGCTGAGCTGGGTAAGATTTTGGTGTGACCCATCCTAAAGACTGGCATTTAAAGCCGAGTGCTGCCAAACCTGCCAGATGGTATCTCTGGGCTGCTCTTTACTAACTGAATGAACCCCTGCTTAGGAACTCTGTCTCCTATGCTGACTTCCTCACATTGGTATTGGAATAGCAAGAACATCCTCTGGTGTGTTTAACACTTTAACCCCCCAGCAAGAAAGATGTGGTAGTTTGAAGAAATCACTGTGGAGATCATCATTATTTGTGGAAGGATGAGGCTGACTGCTATAATACCATTGTCAATTTATATGTAGCATAAGAGATTGGTTATTCTGTCCATTTACAAAACAAGCTGAAAAATTAGAATGTAAGATAAAAATCAGCTCTATTTTGAATGTCTCTAGGAAGGTGCTATTTTGCTCTTACCCTTCTTATGCTAAAGGGTTTGAGATATGCTAAATACATTTGGAAAAATCCTGCATGTTCATATTTTCCATAATTTTCTGTAGAGACAAACATTGTGTGTTGCAGGTCATCTCTTGTTCTGCAGTAATAGCACTAACATGTCCCTGAATGTATTTTGTAATTTAAAATTGTTTCTGTTAAACGCAGTTTGAAAAAATGTCAGGGAGAGGAAGTGAGGTAAAGGGGGCCCTGACACAGCACAGATGTTAAACAATAGTGTCACAGTGCACACAGTGAACAACACTTTGGTACTGTCTAGCTTATGCACCTAAACTGGAAATCCAAAAGAGTAGTAGGAAAACATCTATCAGTGATGTTTGGGAATGAAGTAGAAGGATAAATGCTTGCTGTTCACTTTCTTACACATAGTGGTTTTTAGCATCCTTTTAATTAGCTGTGGGAGGCTCCAAAAGGGACTTAGTCTGGATAAAAAGAGGCATGAATAGGGATTTTAAAAATTAAACTACTGTGCTTGTTTATATCAATGACTTAAAATAAGATGACTGTTTATAATGCAAAAGTGCTTCTCTTCACAGTTTGTTGTGGTGATGGGAGTACTTTTCTGTATTCTGTTTGGCTGCCTTTGGGCACATGGTTTTAAAACTGGCAGAGGAATGTACTGAGGAGTTGTAGTAGGTTTTGGCTGAATAGCTAAGCTTTGTTTCTTATATATCAAAACTTTGTTTTGCTTCAGGAAAGCACATTCTATTTGTGTTTTGATTTTTGTGATTTTTTTTATTCTTTACTATACATCTTGGATGAGAAGACTTGCTGGGATCTGTTTTCTGAAGTGATATTTCCATTTCTTGAAGCATTATTTCTGATTAGGATCTTAACAATCTTAACCCCGATGATGGGGATTTGATCCATTTGTGCTTTATGGGCAGTGATTCTCATTGTTGCCCAGTAGCACCACCTAGCTGTTGGTAGTGCAGAACTTCTCTCTTTTTTCCCTCCAGTACAGATCTCTATGAGAGCAAATGGGCTTGCATCTACTGACCAAGCCCTTGTTATCCTTGAGAAAATACCTTTTTCCCCCCAACGTGGCAAATCAGTCTGGTGTAATATGAAAGGTTGCTATTTGTGTCTGTCATATTTCAAATTTTCAAATATTTAATATATATTAAATCCTTGCTTATTTGCCAACTCCCAGGAAGAAAACTTTCTTTTTCTAGCTCATTATTAATATTCATCTGTTCCAACCCTATTAAATTATTCAGTGTTCATCAGATAGCAGCGTAGTGGTTAACATTTCAACATGCAGCACATGTTCAGTTCTGCTGTGGTACAATTGGTAGCTTTATCTCAATACAACAATATAAGAATACCTGAATAGAAGTTACCTTCTGTAGAATTTTCCTTGCTTTCATCATTTGAAAACAAGAAATTACTTTAACATGTCCTAAATTACTTCAGTTTGCACTCAAAGTGTGCATAAGAAATGCATAAGAAGCAACATATTGTCTTTTGACTAAAATGTGAGGATGAAAAGCACTCCCCTGTTGTCAAAGCTGTGGATTGAAGGCCTTATCCTCTCTGAGGAGATGAGAAATGAGGAACATATTTCTGCAGGCCTTGGCAGGACTTTGCAAAGATAAAAAGTGCCACACCAGCAGCACTTGTGTTTCAGGGCAGCTGACAAACAAAGGAGCAGATAATTTAGCTTGGTCACAGCAAAACTTAAGAACTAAGTCTAAAAATCCATTATGTCTATAGGAAGGGATGAGGAAAAGAACATTGTAATGGATTTTCTTCCTTTCTTCCCTTTGCTTCTCTATTCCTTATGTATCTATCAATATACAGCAGGTGTGTGTGACTTGTGTTTGAAGCAGAGAGGAGTCTGTGTCTGCTGCTCTCTAAACTGCCATACCTAGGGAACTCCTTTGTTAATGTGCTATTAGGGACAAAACACTAGGATTTATAAACGGTAAAAACTGTTAATAATGTGATAGTCTGAGAACAAAACCTTCCTCAATAGTAATGGTGATAGCTTACCCTGAACTTGATGAATGAAAGTATTTATCCTTTAGTCTTAATAGACTGAGATCATAGAAGCAGTTCTGTATGCAGAGTGGAATTTTTTTCTCTAATATAGTCATCGAAGCAGAGAAGATGAGAGAATAACTAAACCAGGAGCTGTCTCTACACCTGTAAAGAATGCAGATGATATTTCTAAAACTGTGGAAGAGGTGACAGTTGAAAGAACTGAAAAACAAACTCCACCACTCCCAGGTAAAAATATTAAAATATATTAATTGTGCATGTCATTAAGAATGGATGACCAGTAAAGACTTAATGTTCTTGCATATTTGTGGAATTACTTTCAAGTCTTAAAACAAACCAAGTCCTAATCATTTTTATTTCTGAATTCAAATAGTCTTTGTAACCATAATCCCATTTACATCTTTAGAGTTTTGGTCCTGAAAACCTAAGTTGTGGGGTCTGTCTTTATATGGGAGTCAGATTTCCGTGTTTAGGATTGTAGTTGTAAGTGATGGTTGTAGTTTTGTACTGATTTCTCAGGCAAGGTTAAAATCTTATCATTTCTGAGTGTTCAATAGTGAATGTGTTCTTATAGGTTACTGTAGCAGTTATAACAATGATGTAGTTAAGCCTGTTTAGAGCTACTGTTCCCAAGATACAACGCAAAACACTCCCAAATGCTTTGTTCATGTAGCACTTAACTACAGTCATGGACCAAGAAGGGAGCTTAACAAATGCAGTACAGCTAATCAAACCAGAAAAAAATTTCATTCCTTGTCCCAAAAGGGAAGGATAAGCTAAATGGCAGCAGATAAAAGCCAGATGGTGTAAAAAATAAAAAAACAAACAAACAAAAGATGCTACAGGACACTGTTCTGGGCAGGCTGGCACTTACAAGATTTTTGTTTACACAATGAGGCACTTCAGTGAAGTTACAAGTGGAGAAAGGAGCTGTGCAGATGGTTTAGAGGGAGTTGTTACTGAAAGGCTGGGTGCAATGAGAGAGAACACATTCAAGCTTGAAAAATATTTGAGGACCTAAGGGATGAGCAGTGACACTTCTGCGTGTAGTAGTCAGTAGATTAGTGAAGAACTAGAAGAGTTATGATGTTGATAGACTCTGAAAGATCTTGAAAATAAGAACAGTAGGTTTTCTGATGCAGCAGCCATTATTACAAAGATGGTCATAAGAGGTGACCTCTTACAGGAATGTTATGAAGAGAGGCAAATGAAGTAGTTTATATTTGCCAAGTTGGAAAACGATGTGGTAGTAGAGATTAGAAAGTTGAATTCTGCATTTCTGTAAGATACTGAAGATTGATAATTGGCATAATACCAATCAAGCCAGATCAGTGACCCTTAAGTGAAATGAGTGATAAATAGTGTGGGGGTTTTGTTGGCTGGTGGGGAAGGAGAAATGTTCTATTCTTACATGAATGGGAAGAGACACATGGAAATACTTAGTTTATGTGGGAGGAGCTGTAGGCCAGTACATAAAGCTAATATTTAAATTAATGTCTGCAGATACAGTTTGCTTGCCCAAGATAAAAAAGTGTAGCAAAGGGCATAATCCTTTAAAAGCCTCATGAAAGCTCCAGGGAGATGAGGATCCTTCCAAGACTGTAATAAAAATATGTCAGAGAAGTGGTTGGAAGAATCTGTGATGGTTTGCTGCTTAGACTAAAGGCAAGGGCAAGATGACTATCATAGCTGATTGTGTCAAAGAAGGGTGGGAGGAAATTATTTGTTGGGAGGGATCATCAGAGGCTTAGCCTAGGAAAGGTTAATTATACACTTGAAGAAAAATATTGTGCTACTGTATGGGAAGGACCAGAGTTACATTAGAAAAAGGCATAATTACCCAACTGTTGCCTGAAATTGCCAATTCCAAACTAGTCTGTTCTGTGATTTAAAAGGAAGATGGTGCAGTTTTAATATCAGGAATATTAGACTAGTTTAAAGTCAGCCTTGTTTGAAATCAAAATTTTTCCAGTGTGCAAAAATGAGCCTTACATAGAAATACTTATAACATGGCCAAGCCTTTATCAGAGAAGAGCCCCTGCCAGTGCTCACTGCTGAGGGAAGCCTGCAGTGGCAGTTTCCTCAAAGGAACTCCAGAGAAGCTCTACAGCAAAGCCATAGTAAGTGCATAGCCCCAAGGACCACCAGCTGGACCTCAAGGCATGTATATTAGATTGAAGATTTATGCTATTTTCATTTCAAAAATTGAATTCTTGAGTGAAGAGAACCAATGAAAAATGAAGGAGTTAGGGAAGAGAAATCAAGGTTAGAAACAGAAGGATTGAAAGTGGTCTTGGGAGCATGAAGCCTTCTAGTTCTCATCCTTTTGCAGTGTACAAAGTACTTGATGAAGTGCAAAGAAAGTTTGTGAATCTTTACAATTAGTAAAGTACTAATTAGGCCAGTAACCACACTGCTCTAAGTGGCATGATGAGAATGTCTTCTGTTGTAAGTTTTCTAGTATTTTACTTTGAAGTGAGTCTAAGTGGTATGGAGGGAAGGCTACTGAAGAAGTCATTAACTAAGTTAAACTTCACATTTTCATCTTAAAATGACCAAATGGACATTGGAAATCTTTGGTATTTTAATAGAACCAAAGCCAGTGTATGCACAAGGAGGTCAGCCAGATGTGGATTTACCAGTCAGTCCATCTGATGGTCCTTTACCCAATTCAACCCATGAAGATGGAATGCTTCGGTAATGTATCTCTGAACTCTCTTTGAACCTGCCTGGTCCTTAAGCAAACCAAAATTTTATCCAGGGTGGTCAGTAACTTCTATCTGTGCTCTGATATCATGTCCAGTATCCTGTCTTGGCCCTTCTGTTTACAAATTATTAAGATGTGAGATTTATTCCTGAGTCTTGTTGGCACTTACACTGTGTAATATACCATTTTAAAATCTATTCATTTCTATGGAAATTAGTCCTTAGAATAATCAACAGGTGAAAAGGATTTGCTGGGTTTGTCTCTCCCTGGGCACTCTCACTCCTCCATTCCAGTCTCCATCTCCAAAGAGAGGAAAGTTACTGTAGTATATTCTTTACCTTTCATAGTGATTGGAGAGCAGTGAATAAAGGTTACTGCAGAAATGTGCAATCTCTCAGCATGGAAATAAGTCTGCTTCAGCTGGGATCTCCTTTATGGACATTAGTGTACATGAGAATTGATTCTAGTTTGGTTTGACCTCAAATTCATTTTGATCTCTTCAGAGCCAAAATAGATCTGTATGCCAGCACAGCTCTTTAAAAGGAAGAATGTTTTTGGAAGAGAGTGTCAGTGTCTCACATAAACACTGAGTGTAAGACAAACAAGGCATACTAAACATGTACATGCAGGTGGGTTTTTAGAGTGCTGCTAAGTGAGCATGTTGTAATGCTGCAGCTGATAAGCAGTTTAAGGGTATGTATAGCAAAATAGCCACTAATTGACTAACAAGCAGATTATTTCTTTGCATGTTTCAAATTCACCAGGATATTTTATGCTATTACATGAGTAAGTAGGATATTTTCTAAATTTCTAGGCCAAGCATGAAACTGGTAAAATTCAGAAAAGGAGATAGTGTGGGCTTGCGACTAGCAGGTGGCAATGATGTTGGCATATTTGTAGCTGGTGTTCTGGAAGACAGCCCTGCAGCAAAAGAAGGATTAGAGGAAGGGGACCAGATTCTCAGGGTATGTCAAAACTGTTAACATTACAAATATTTTGTTGTGCCAAAGTAGATTTTCTTTCTGTAGGATTGAGTATTTTGCCCTTGTAGTTCATACGCGGTTTCTTCTGTGTGTATTTATTAGATAACTTACTAGGAAAAATCTCTTTTTACTGTACTGCTGCTAGAAGTTTAGTAAGGTTTTTACATTAAATGTTGTAGACAAATTCAGTTGATAAAGTTGTTTGATTTCATGCTGGGTGTCTAAGTTGTCAGAGTGCTTTGTGGGCTACTGATATATATATATATATATGAAATAGAGTAAGAAAAAAGTCATAGCAATAGATTCAGATTTTCTATTGTATAATTATATCTCTGTAATAATATCATATGCTAAATCAAACTGATTGCTTCATTGATACCAGGTAAATAATGTAGATTTCACAAATATCATCAGAGAAGAAGCTGTCCTTTTTTTGCTTGATCTTCCTAAAGGCGAAGAAGTAACCATTTTGGCACAGAAGAAAAAAGACGGTAAATATTTGTGTATTGGAAATGATGTAGTAGACTGCTTAGAACAGCATTAAAAAGTCCAGTGAACAATAACTAACTGCTAGCTTGCAGGAAATTGGCACTTCAGACTATTGAGTCCTTTTGGCTTTGGGGTAGGTGGCCACTACAAATGGAATAGAGACTGATGGTGTTGCCAGTATGTACACACACACACACACCCTAAACAAACAAACAAAATATAAAAAAAAAAAAAGTCCTCTTCAGGAATAACCCCTATCACCTAAGTAATGTCTTGGCATTATCCTTAGAGGAAGTAGAAGAGTCAGTTGTAGTGATGCCATTGAAAATGAGTGATTATGCTGATGTGTTTGTACATACAAAATATTCTCAAGATTAATTCCTTCTGGGGCAAATGAAGTAAGCTCGCACTAGGCTCAAATTTTTGACTATAGAAGTTGAATTTATGTTGGAAGAGTTTACTATAAATAGTTATGCTGCTTAAAATAGATCATCTGTGAGACATTAAGGCTTCTCGAAGTAATGTACATTTAGAACAAGGAGAATTAAGGTGAGGCATTGCTTTGTGTAATTCTTGTGAGCATTATAACATCACTTGAAGTTATGTAACACTTGATATTTTGGGGTTTTTCTTCCTTCTTTCAGTTTATCGTCGCATTGTTGAGTCTGATGTAGGGGATTCTTTCTATATCAGAACTCATTTTGAATATGAGAAGGAATCTCCTTATGGACTAAGTTTCAATAAAGGTGAAGTGTTCCGGGTGGTGGACACTCTGTACAACGGCAAACTGGGCTCGTGGCTGGCCATTCGAATTGGGAAGAATCATAAGGAAGTGGAAAGAGGTATCATACCTAACAAAAACAGGTACGATTCTGCAGTAATTAAATTGCTGGTTCAAACCCACAATTTTAAATGGTATCTGTATAATGAATGACTGGACTTCCTTTCAGGTTTATAAAATTGGTTCAGTTAGAAAAAGTGACAAATTGTAAAACATACTGAATTAAAATATCTGTGGATTTGCTTTTGATTTTGCACAGTCCTTGAATAAAGTTTCTTGTCAATACAAGAGACAAGGATATACTAAGTTTTAGAAATGTGATACCAGGCTTAGTAGTTGTCTTGTAGTTCATAATACAACAAAATCTTGTCTCAGCCAGTGGCAGAGATTTTTTGAGAGTGTAAGCTTGTTAGTCAGGCATTACTTCAGAAGCTGACTTCTTGGTAACTGGGATTTGTTGTCACCTCAGAGCTGAGCAGCTGGCTAGTGTACAGTACACACTTCCAAAGACAGCAGGAGGAGATCGAGCAGACTTTTGGAGATTCCGAGGCTTACGAAGCTCAAAAAGAAATCTCCGGAAAAGTAGAGAAGATCTTTCTGCCCAGCCTGTTCAGACGAAGTTTCCTGCCTATGAAAGAGTTGTTCTTCGGGAAGGTATGGCTGTACTCTTAACTGCACATTACAGGTTTGCGTGGTTTTGTTTGGAAAAGCCAATGTAGTTAAGTATATCTTCCATTTGGTTTAAGCAAACAATATATATTGACTTTTCTTTTTCCTTCAATTCTAGCTGGGTTTCTCAGACCTGTAACCATTTTTGGTCCAATAGCTGATGTTGCACGGGAGAAACTTGCTAGAGAAGAACCAGATATCTTTCAAATTGCAAGTAAGTGTGAGATGAGGTTTTTCTGCAGTTAGGAAATAGGTTTTTTTTGGTTAGATTGTTTCCACATTATTTCTTTAGTTAGCATATTTAACAAGACATTGACAATATAAAGGAACAGACTAAATGTAAATGCTTCTACTACAGTGCTGCTGATAATTCTCTGAAGAAATATTAGTTCTATTTATAGCTGCCTCAAATTTCATTTGAATTCTGTACCTTATCCTGTTTCTAAGTGCTTTTGTAAAGTTATGATTTTTATGGCCATAATGGTGGGTAGACTTTGATGTATGATATGTGATCAGGAGTCTCTTCAAGCTGAATTGACAGCTTGAGCTATGAAATGGTTTGTTTTATCTTAATAAGGGAATGTAGAATATGTTGTAAATTTACAGTAGATTTTTACTGTGTTCTCTTTACCAGAAAGTGAACCAAGAGATGCTGGTACTGACCAACGTAGTTCTGGCATTATTCGTCTCCATACTATAAAGCAGATAATCGATAGAGTAAGTCTTCTACTGTCACTGGACTTGTAACACAAGAAAAGTAAAACTGATAACATGAGGTAGTGTTGGGTGTTTTAGATGTAGAATGGTAACTTACTGTGTTTGCTTTAAAAATAACTTTCTCATCACTCTGGTTAATAAGAGAAACCCCACCACCCTTTTTCTCCATATTAATAACTTCAGCCTGGATGTACTTCTAGGCCTTGTTCCAGAGGCTGTTGTCCTCTCTCCATTACTAAGGGAGCTCTTTTAAGCTGTTTCCTCTTTCATTTAAAGCCATGGTGTGACATTATAGCTAGAGATGGTTACTTTGTGTGGAGTTGTCTGTTTCGCTGCATCTGGGTGTACAAATAGATCGCTTGACATAATTCTTTTGTGTGAGGACTAGGAAAAGGTTCTTCCACCTCCCTTCCTTAATATACTTAAAACCTCTACCGTTAGTGCATTATATGAGGCTTACCTATTTATTTCCTTACTTAAAAACAAACTGGAAGAGTTTCAGATGCTGATGTATGAGAGGGGAAAAACGCTATTACAGCAGCAAAGTCAGTATGCTTCATGCTGTGTGCCTGATTGCATTGAATGAAAGCTGGCCAAGTTCTGCATTCACAGTGTTGGGGTTTTTTTTGTAAAAAGGAAGATAAAAGTGTGTAATGTCTTGTGTTTCAGTTTTTGGTTTTATCCTATTTACAGAATGCTGACAGGAAACTGCTTATTTTTATTTCAGCATCTGCTTACTTTGACGAAAATTTTTAAAAAATAGAATTAAATGTAAAAAATCCTAGAGTTATACAGTGGTCCTACCGTTCAAAATGTATATGCCTATTTAGGCTGGTATTGGAATTGGTTTGGTTTTTATTAAAATAGGAGAGGGATTTATGTCAATACTTTGAAACAATGAATTCTGTAAAAGTAATACAAAATCAGTTTGTAAAGTGTGTTTGAAAATTTTCATGTAGGACACAAATGATTCACTTTCTTGCCTCTGTCCTTTTTGTCACTACAGGACAAACATGCTTTATTAGATGTCACTCCCAATGCAGTGGACCGTCTGAATTATGCCCAGTGGTATCCAATTGTAGTGTTCCTAAATCCTGATTCTAAGCAGGGAGTAAAGACCATGAGAATGAGGTTGTGCCCAGAATCACGAAAAAGTGCCAGAAAGCTGTATGAAAGAGCTCACAAGCTCCGCAAAAATAATCACCATCTCTTCACAAGTAAGTAATTAGACAGACTGGATTAGACTTTCTGACAGAGAAGGGGAGGCAAGATGAGAAAAGCTTCTACCTCCAGAATTTTCTGCAAATGGAGCAGGTCAAGCAGTGATGGACTTTTTCAGGCTTCACCATTCAATAACCAGTAGTTAATTGGTGTGTGCATCATTTGCACATGACTGCACAAATTTGAAGCAATCTGAAACATCAAAATGACATTTCTAATAGGTCTTGTGGCTTTGCAGGATCATCAGCCAAAATCAAAACTTGAATAAATAGGAAAATGATGTAACTTTATTGTTTTAGTCTGGCTAAACTCAGGCCTCTCTTTATTCTAAGCTACTGTTAATTTAGCATTTCCTGTGCTAATTTCCATGTCCCAAACCACATCAGGCCTTAAGGTTGCTTGGATACTAATGTTTACATTACTATTTAAATCTCATAGTTTTAACCTACCAGTTTATATTGCTTTTATTACTCGTGGTATAAATCCTTCTTGTAGTTCTGCAGAAATCATAAATCAAACTAATCTGCTGTACTTCTAGCTACCATTAACTTGAATTCAATGAATGAAGGATGGTATGGAGCTCTTAAGGAAGCAATTCAGCAACAACAGAACCAGCTAGTGTGGGTTTCAGAAGGAAAGGTAAGAAATAATGTTTGGGGGGAAATGGAAAAACAGTGTTCATGAGAGCTTTTCTGTGAAGATCTAAAGCAGTAATGCCTCCTGGCTGTGTGAGCTGCGTAAAGCTGATTTCTCTCTACATTAGAGCACTTACTCTGTTAATGAGAGCTGTACATTTGTCCTTATGCATGTAGCAGTGTAGTAAGGGAGCATTTCCTCACTGGCATTTTTAACTGGAGAATATATTAATGCTGTGAAGATTTTGCAGGGATTGGATGGGTTTTCATCAAAGAACATCTGGGAATTTCACTGCAGGGGTACTCAGGACTATGATTGCCTGGTGATGGAATGAGTTTTTCATTATTATAAGATCAAGTGGCATATTCATGTTCTTTCTGAGAACAGTTGGGAGAAAACACATGTGAAACCACAAGTTAGTATTCTATGTTCCCCACTAAAACTCCACTTACCTTCTTGAGCTGCATGTTACTCTATGCACATTAGATCCATCCTCTTGAAGAACTATTATCAAGTCTCGTGCCAGCTAAAAGTAAGCAAATGATGAATCAGCTATTGCTGTGGGTTTCCTGGATTAGATCCTAGCTCCTTATATGTGCCTGCAAAGTGATGATTCTGAAAGCATAATACCATTTTAAAGTGCAGTTCTGTATTTTTGCAAGCACTTTGGTCTCTGTGGACACTGCACTGTCCCTTGCTCCCTTACACTGACAGTCATCTGGTCCCTTAGTAAAATGATTCAAAGAACTAGGCTGCAGATGAGTCTTCTAGGTCTAAGCTTAACATATTCAGTGATGGAAACCTGATTCCTTGTCCCCTGTGATGATAATAATACTGGATTTGGTAAAACTCCCACATTCTACAGTGCAAGAGAAGGGTGTTCTTTAAAAGGTATTTCAATAAACGTGTACCCTAATTTTGTTTGCCACAGGCAGATGGTGCTACAAGTGATGATCTTGATTTACACGATGACCGCCTTTCTTACCTCTCCGCTCCCGGCAGTGAGTATTCCATGTACAGCACAGACAGCAGACACACGTCTGACTATGAAGACACAGACACAGAAGGGGGTGCTTACACTGATCAAGAACTGGATGAAACTCTGAATGATGAGGTTGGGACTCCTCCTGAATCTGCTATTACACGCTCCTCTGAACCTGTTCGAGAGGATTCTTCTGGAATGCATCATGAGACTCAGACTTACCCTGCTTATGCATCTCAAGCTCAGCCACAGCCAAATCTCAGAATAGACTCTTCAGGATTTAAAGCAACTACTACTCAGCCGGTAAGAAAGTCATTTTATACACTGACCACTGTACACTGACTTCAGGTTGCAAGTTCTCTTGAATAAGAAATGTCCATTGATATTCTGCTTACCAGTGTTGTGTTTGCATACAAGAATCTGTCAGCAGCAGCAGTACATTACAGTGAACTGGAGAATCACCTTGCCCTGCTTGTTTTAGTGACTCATTGACAGGAGGGGGATTGAAGTACCATTGTACTTTGATTAAATGTTTTGCTTTTATAATCCTCAACCTAATGAATTTCTGGAAGTGCTAGTGCATGATACTATCAGTACATTTCATTCTACATCTAGCTGCATTGGTCAGAGCATCACTTAAATTATTTTAATATAAATCAAAAAGTCATACATTGATTCAATAGCAGTATATTTAAAATATTTTAAACACTTCACAGAAAGCAGAAGCCTCACCTGCAGTCCCTTACCTTTCCCCGTCGCCTGAATCAAACCCTGCAACCTCATCAGCCTCTGCAGTAAATGCTAATGTAAACCTAAGTAATGTCAGACTGGAGGAGCCTACTGCTGCTCCTTACAACTCTTACCAACCACAAGCGGGCCCCTTAAGAGCACCGAGTACTGAGGGAGCTCATGTAGTACTAAGAGACCAAGAGCCATCATCCTTACCGCCGCATATAGATCCAGCAAAGGTACCTGTGCCACATTGTTGTGCTGATTTCCTGCTATACATCAAGCTAGCATATGATCTTTGTTTTGCCCTCATTTGAAGAATTCCTTCTAATTTTTTGTTCGTCTAAGAGAATCATGCAGGTTATGAAAAACACTTCATCTGAATTGCTGAGCATCATTTAATGTTTTGTGTGCATGGCTTCAAACTCTGTCCTTTTCACTTCTCAAACACCTGACTTTTTAAAAAAGGCTGCATTCTGTATTTTGATTTTACTTTACATGTGACTTCCTTAGACTGTCAACGTTCTCCTGTTAATGAGGCCTCGACAAAAATCTTATTTCCGTAAAATTTAAATCATGCCATATTGTTGATCATGAGGTTGAGTACTATTTGTTGAGTGACTTTATATACTTCTTCAGCAATGCTAGAACTATCTTAGTGTATTTATATATTTCACTTCCACTCTTTCCACATTCTGAAAAAAAGCGTGTGCTTTATTTTCCCTGACCACCAAACCCCAGACATGAGGCTATTACCTTGGTCTTTCTCTTTAATCTACTCTTCTAATCTAGGCTTCTTAAAAATATGACTAAAAGGGATCTCTTGAATCACCAAGTTCAGCTTCCTCTCGTTGCAAACCATCTGCATCAAATTATTCTGCTTTTAAACAAAATTAAAGCAAATATTTAAAACCTGTGTTTGTTTCAAATACTACCTTTCAACTGCTGCTACTCTTTATTTTAGCTGAGAAGTGTCTCTCTCTAACAGGTGTACCGGAAGGATCCATACATTAATGAAGAAGCATCCAGACAAAGCTATGTCTTAAAACAGCCAGCAATTAATCACCCAGTACAGAGACAGGAAAGAGACCCAAATCTGATCTATGAATCCCAGGCTCAATATGCAGAAAAACAACCGAGTAGGGATTATGAACAGTCAACATATAGGTATGACTCTACAAACTATGTGGATCAATTTTCTCGTGGTTATGACCCTCGCCTACATTATGACGACCGTGTGCCTCCCTATGAGGATCACTGGACATATTATGAGGACAAGCAGCCCTATAACCAAACAAGAACAGCTTATGAAAACCAGCCTCCTAGGGATCTCGATTCCAGACAAAATCTAGAAGAGAGCACAGAACGCAGCTATTACCCAGCACAACCTCGTTTTGAGGAGCCCCCTGCAATGAGCTATGACAGCAGACCTCGCTACGAGCATGCACCCAAAAACTTCAGCTTGCCACAAGTGCGATACGAGGATCAACACACGGTTGGATACGACACCCACGGTCGATACAAACCAGAAGCTCAGCCATACCAGTCAGCCATATCTCGATCTCCTGAACCCAAGCAGTACTTTGATCCACACATAAGAGGCTATGAACAAGGACCTCCTCAAGCTTATAATGCTAAAGCTGGACAGTATGAGCCTTCTCATAGCACTTCAGGTGTTTCTCTTCCTCCTCCCCCTTCATCACAAACCAAACCAGAAGTTTTGCCTTCCAACAGTAAACCACTGCCTACACCACCATCCCTAGCTGAGGAAGAAGAAGATCCAGCCATGAAACCACAGTCTGTGCGAAGTAGGGTTAAGATATTTGAAAGGAGAAGATCTCCATCTTTGGAAAAAATGAAGGACACAGGTGATACATCAGCTGTCAAGGTAAGTCATTTAAGTTTTTTAGTTCCTGCCTTTTTGCTAATGAGACTGCACTGCAAGAAGTAAAATATTGTCTCAGAAACAAAGCTTTACTGCTTGTGAAATATTGCCTTTTAACAACCTAAATGGGGTATGTTTTAAAAGCAGAACCTGAACACTTCTTGTGAAAACACTGCCAGGGGTCTTGCTATACTGGAAACTCCTCTGATTCTTCTTTTGCTAGTAGTTGTTTTTTCTTTTGGAGAAAGGGAAGGTATTCTTAGTTTCCTTAATCATAAAGTGCTTTATCTTTCTAAATGTTAGAATTTAAGAGAATATGCTGTGTTTTTCTTTACAGCCTCCAGAACTAGCACCTAAGCCTGCACTCACAAGTGTGAGTGGTCCAAAACCAACTACTCAAAGCCAGTATGAGCACGAGAAAACAACCTACAGGTAGATGCACAACTGATAAAATTTAGTTTTCAATATGAGTTTAGAATATTCAAAAACACATCTTGGCGTGCTTCAAATTGGAAACTGCAGAGGAGTCAGAGTATGTCAGTATGGTTTGTGTATCAATAGTGAAGCAGGGCATGAAGTCAGTTCTCATGGGTGTGACTGCTGGGAGGTGGGGGAAAGATACTTAGTTTCTTCCTCAAAAAGTGCTGAGAAATCATTGTATCTCTGTTCTACTTTCTTCTGTCTTTAATTGAGCTAATTAGAAAGCAAAACAAAAGGGAAAAGGTAAGATATAAGGGAAATAAGGATTTTCTTTCCTTACGGTATGCCAGAACTTCTAATTTCCTTCCAATATAGGTAAAAAGGCAAGGTATGCAATTAAAAGAATTACATTTGCATTGCTTTATTACTAACTAGGTTAAAAAATAGAATTGTAATTTGGTCACTTACGCTGGTTCAACTGGGCAAGGCAACTGTATATTATTCTTCTTGCTTAGGGCCCCAGAACCACAGAGACCTCAAGTGAAGCCACCTGAAGATATTGTGCGTTCCAATCATTATGATCCTGAGGAAGATGAGGAGTATTACCGGAAGCAGCTCTCCTACTTCGATCGCAGGAGTTTTGAAAATAAGCCATCGGCGCAGGTTGCTGCCAGCCATCATTCTGAGCCCACCAAACCAATACATTCACAGAATCAGCTGAATTTCAGCAATTATTCTAAGTAAGTTTGGGTTCTTTGGTTTTTTAAATTTGAAAAAGGAGGGGGCATCTAGGACTAAAACTGAAATTCTGCCCATGTTCAATGGAGTCAGGGACTTGTGGTACTGAAATGAAATTTGGTATTCATGAAGTCCTGAGTTTCTGTTTAGGTGTAGCCTTACTTTAAAAACACATACCTCTATAACTTCTAATTTTGGTAAATTAATCACTTTTGCAGGTATCAGGTCCTTCAACATGTTACTTTTACTTACTGCTTAACTAGCATACAATCATAGAATTGTTTAGGTTGGAAGAGACCACTAAGATCGAGTCCAACCATAATCTAGCACTGCAAAGGCCTACAACTTACATCAGTCCCTAAGTGCCACATCTACACATCTTTCCATCTCCAGGGATGGTGACTCCATGACTTCCCTGGGCAGCCTGTTTCAATGTCTGATAGCCCTTTCAGTGAAGAAATATTTCCCAATATCTGACCTAAACTCCTCCAGCACAATTTGAGGTCACTTCCTCTTGTCCTGTCACTTCTTACCCGGGAGAAGAGGCTGAATCCTACCTGGCTATGATCTTCTTTTAGTGAGCTGTAGATTGATAATGTCTCTCCTGAGCCTCCTCCAGGCTGAGCTCCCCAAGCTCCCTCAGCTGCAACTCACATGATTTGTGCTCCAGACCCTTCCCCAGCCCTGTTGCCCTTTTCTGGACCTGCTCAATGTCCTCCTTGCTGTGAGAGGCCCAGAACTGGACACAGCACTCAAGGTGTGGCCTCAGCAGTGGCCAGCACAGGGGGATGGTCACTGCATGGGTCCTGCTGGACACACCATGGCTGGTCCAGGCCAGGTGCCTTTGGCCACCTGGGCACACCTGGCTCATGTTCAGCTGCTGTTGACCAGCACCCCCAGGGCCTTTTGCAGCTTTCCAGCCCCTCTGCCCCAGCCTGTGGCACTGCAGGGGTTGGTGTGAGCCAAGGGCCTTGCTGAACCTCACACAGTTGGCCTCAGCCACTGATCCTGCCTGTCCAGATCCCTCTGCAGAGCTTTCCTACCCTCCAGCAAATGAACACTCCTTAATTTGGAGTCACCTGTGAACTTACTGGGGGAGTGCTCTCAATCCCCTCATCAAGATCATTGATTGTGTTCTGTTTATTATCATTAGCAGGACATAATAAAGCATTTTCTTAGTCTAGTAGTAGTGCTTACACATCCTTCAAAACAAAGGTTTTGACTTATTCCAGTACTGAATGCATTTGTTCTTGTGCATGTTAGCCATGTTTGACATTAGGAAACTGAGCCTTTAGGGAATATTGCTGAGGCCAGAAATTAATCTGTTGATGGAAACATCTGTTTCCTGTATTGTTTTGTTTCCTTGAATTGGAACATTTTTATACAGAAATTGTGTGAAAGATCATACGCAGATTTTGCTCAGGTAAAGAGCTGGCTATTTTGGAGGATAGTATTCAAACCTTTTGAATACTCTCCACAGTTAATTAAATCTTTAAATTTGTTTTTAAATTATTTTTTTTTTGAAACAACAAGTTTTGTTTTGAAATAACAGGATGTTTGTAGATGTTACTGTGAAAAGCCACCTTGGCTTGCTGCATGCAGCCTGAAAATCAGGTGTTTTTGAGGGCTTTATTTGTATTCCTGCTTGAAACATGGACTATTCAGGTCAAGCTGAAAATATGGCAGCCTTAATGTAAATGAGATCTTTAGAATGATAGCTGTAGTTTTATAATGTTGAGTGCATGTGCAAGGTATCTTCCATGTACTTGATACACCATGTTCCAGTGCTTGTCTTAAAGGATTTGAGCTGGGACTTGGGAATCCAGTTATTATTTGTTTGGTCATTGTCTGTGATCTTCCACTGTCTTTGTGACCTGAGAATGTTGGAATGCTCCAAAAAGCTTGATAGGTTTTAAATGTTTCACTTTTTTTCCCCCTAATGATGTGTATATTGGGTGTCTGTAACCAGTCCTGATTTGCAGGCAAGGATGCTTCTTATCCTTCCTTTTCATTTACCCAGTGTCTTCTGGTGGAAAGACGAGAGCTTAGCTGTTCTGCTCTCTGGGCATCATAGGCACAGACCTAAGAAAGCTGTCCTGACTGGCCTCACAGTAGTAATTTTCAAAATTCCACTCTCACATAAAAAACCAGTGTTACCCACAGATGATCCATTTTGGTGTTGCCATTGAAAATGCAAGTCACGCTTTGGGAGAAGTGTTGTGAGCATTCATCAAGTAATTGTGAGGATTGTAAATTTTTTCAGGTGGAGAGTGTCAAAAGCTTTCATTGTACATTTGTTATTCTTCAGTGTTGTCATGGTGGAAAGCATGAGAGACAAACACAACCACTGAATTTTTGGTGCAGAACAGCTCATGGTTGAGAGAGATTCTTCTGTATTTCTACCTACTGCTTCTGTCTGCAGTGTCACTTGTATTCTTTGGCTGCTCACTTGTGGTTTTGTTTGGATCATGAGTTAGTGTATAACTTCAGGGCTTGTATGTATGGGAAGGTGACCTCTTACTGCCACAGAGGAGTAAGATAATACTGGTTTCAAGGCTGACAATTTCATGTATCATGTGGGACAAACATGTGTTGTGTTTTTGCTTTGTGAAAGAATGTAACCCTTAACAGGAAGGGCCAGACATGGGAAAGAAAATTTACCCAGGGTAGTCCAGTGCAAATAGACAAATACTAAAATATTAATGTAAGTGGAAAGAGATAAACAAGAATGCTGCTCAGTTGGACAGTACTGCCTCTAGTACACTGCAGTGTCCTTGTGTGGAAACACAAACCCATTGCTATCTTGAGAAAGCGTTCATGTTTAGGACTTTCCTTTAACCAGCTTCCACGTTGTTCCTGTTACTTGCTCAGTATTAATCTTTTTTCCCAGTGAATTTATATGGTAATTGCTATTCTGTGAATAACTCTTCTAAAAATAAACAGGACTAAATTTGGATTATACAGGAACTGTTGATTATGCAATCTCTTTCTTCTGAATAATCCATATAATGTATTCTGGGTACAGAGGACAGATTTTATTTATTCATGAGCAATAGCTACAACTTTCTTAATGTTAAATATTAATGTGAAACATCAAATTATGTAAAGTTCTTTGCCACTGAGTAAAGATGGTGACAATCCATGTTTTTCCCACTACAAATTATTTTACTGTTTTATTTTGTTGGGGGTTTATTTTCATAATTTCAGAAATTCACGCCATTGCTAAAGCTGCTTTGTAGGGATAATACCTCATCTGCATGTTACAGTTGTCAGGAACTGCAGAATAAGGGGTAGTTTCTCTTGCTGTGAGAAAATAGTAGAACCTGTAAATGGGTGTGTTTCAGTGTTCAAGCAATTTGAGGCAGATATCCCCATGGCTGAGAGTAGTGGATTTGTTGCTGCTTGGATCAATGGAGTTACCTGCTTTTGCTGCTTGACGTGCTGCAGAGTCAGGTAACTTTGTGAATGTCTGTTCTGAGCAGGGTTAAGAGTGGTCTCAGAAGCAGCTGCAGCCTCAGCTGGGGAGGCAGTGAGGAGCAGCATCCAGCCTCCTGAGTGTCTGTTAGCTGGAGTCGATTGAGCATCAGCAAAGCAGTTGCTGTTGCACCCGTAGGCTTATAACCTGGGTCCCACTGGTTCATTCTAGGGGTTTATTTCTGCTTCCTTTCAAATTAAAGTAGTAAATTTGTAATGAAGGTGAAGTGGGAGATAGGTTAGAAAGCAGCCTATCTATAATTAGGAAAATTCTGATTATACCCTTAGGAGCTGTAAGGGATCACTTTGGCTGCATACAGGTTCTGAGCAGAGGGGATGGAATTGTGTCAGACACTTGGTCAGGAGCCTGTGACAGAATGTGCTTCATACTAAACACAACTTCAGGTGGGCACTTTCTTGAGAGAGCAGCTATTACCCACCTGGAGTAAAGGCAACAGGGAGTGAGCATACAGTAATGGCTCCTGTTGCTGGATAAATGTGGCTTTATATAAAATCAGTGGGAATGGAAGCTTTGAGATAGATCTAAAATAATCTCTTTTTTGCAACTCTGGTTTTAGAGGTATGTTCATACAAATGCTGTTTAGATCACTCATCTTCTCATTCATGTGATGATCAAGCAGACTTTCAAAAGTTTCCAGCCTTTTTATAGTTTCATAGCATACTCCTCTAAAGTGCCAAGATGGTTGGCATCTAGAATTGTTGCTTGTTAAATATTTGTGACCATACAGAAAGTGAAGGAATGAGGGAAAGCTGTCCTCATGTACAAGTACATGTACATGTATTTTCTTGCTACATGTAAGCAAGGTAAGTGTTAAAAATCCAGGGAAGTCATCAGTATACTTATGGTTCTCTGTCTCTCCTAGTATTTGGAAACAGTTCTAAGATGTCCTTTTAGATACTGTTGAACACAACCAGAAACATTTTATGGTGTGGGCTCTCTACTGGATGAGCAGATAGTGCTGGAGAAGCAGTTGCTGTCAATGTACGCTCCGTACATGATCTGCAGTACAATACAAAGCTACTGTCATTCTGTCAGTGTTATGACTGAAGAAGTTGTTTCAAACTGGACTATGTTGAGAGGTTGTTCATTTCTTTCAATGCATAGAATAATTTTGTTTGTACAGATTGTAACAAATGGCTTAGCGTAATCTCATTCTTACTTTTAATACCTGCCAATACAAGATCTTGACTACCTTCTAATTCACTGACCCAATCTCATTGAATATAGTATGTGATCAATGTAAACATGCATATGGTAAAGGTTTTGTCAGAAATATCTCTGTGAATAGTGTCTCTGTTTCAACAACCTTGTCATATGACAGCTGCTAGGACTAACATAAAAAGTGTGAAGAAATAATATGCTCAAGATAGAATGACTATTTTCTTTCATTCTTCTATTGCTGTTTGCTTTGCCATCACCTAGATTTCTTGGCTCTTACACTAGCTATGACTACTTGAAAAGGAACATCAAGTGGTAAGACTGTTGTTGATGTGAGGATGTTTTCAGGTGTCCTCTCACTGTTACATTTCATCACAGGCATTATGTGCACTTAAAATTTGAAACACACAAATTCTGGAAGCGCAATAAGTACTATTGCGGTCCAAAATTACAAAGGTGTTTGTGAAATCAATCATTTTCTGAAGTAAACCCGTGGATAAATATTTCTAGCATAAGAAAAATGCTTTGAAAATAAGAATTTAAAGTTACATACACTATGCACATAAAGCTAGTGAAGCTTAAGCTGATTACATTTCTAATTAAGATGGCATTGTTCAAATACTAGGTGTATTTAAAGAAGTTATACTTGAATCCATTGTCCTTTTGGCTAATTATGCTTTTCAAAAAAAAAACCTAAAAAGAAGTGGGTTTATTTTTTTTTCACAAGACCCATGAAATTAGAGAACGTTCTTTCATTGAAGTTACTCCAAATGAAGTTGAAAAATTAATAAAATTAATAGGCAATTATGCAAATACACCTGAAATGTCATCTGCCTTTTGTTTGCCTTGGTTTGTGTTACTAATCTTCTAAAGGTCAATGTTGTCTGAATCTCTTGTGCTTATCAATAAATGTTTTTATACTTGAGACAGGCTATTCAAGAAAATAATGTTTTGATGTTTATAGGAAGAGATGGAAATCAGGTGATCATAGAAGACAAAAAATAGCAGTGAATGCAGGAGCTGTGAGGTAACCAAACAGTCAAATGTTTGTTTTTTAATTCTGTTTCAACAGGGGGAAACCAACTGATACTGAATCACTGGATAGACCTGTTGGTGAAAAACGCTATGAGCCAATCCCTCAAGTTACAACTCCTCCTCCTGCTCCTTCAGTCCAGTACACACAGCCACAGTCAATTAACAGTCCTGTCCTGTCTCTCCCAGCACACCACAAGCCTGCACTTTCTGAAGGTGAGCAGTTACAAAGCTGACCATTGTGGGAACAGCTATTGCTTGTCAGGTGCTTACAGGGTTGCTTCAGCACATCTACATGGGTAACTATGTTGTTCTCTAACTGAAATGTGGAATAATTATTATTGAGAATAGTTTTTTATTGTAGTGAGATTGAATTTTATGAAATTTTGTGATTCTCTCTGAAACTAGGTAGCTTCCAGGTATTAGTAATACCTGTAACTGTTGCGCTTGTCTTGGCAAACATGAAGTAAAACTCTCTGTGCTTTGGACCAGAATTCTTCTGACATGACTAATAGTTGTAGGCTTCTAAAACAAAAGAAAAAGTTGTTTTCACTTTCACATTGAGGGGATTACCCAGTTCAGTTGAATTTTCTGGTTTGTTCAGCTACACAATGGTATTTCAGTACTGCTTTTCTGGAGGTGTGATCATGATATAAATTAGTCTAACCTTTTCATTGAAAGGTCATACCATTGTCTCTAACATTTATAATGGAATGTTAGATAACTTGCCCATATGTACAAAATGCAGTAAGAGGAGAGATGATCTAAGAGAACTAAGCTGAAGCTGTATATGTTTTATACTGATGATTAAGAATTGACTAAAATGTGTTCATGTGCCTCAGTGTACGTGACCAGACATTTTTGGTGGTTACTGACAAGTTTGGGTATTTTCATTTTCATTGCAGTTAACTCTGTGTCTGATCCTCCTCCACCTCAGAACAAGTCAGCAATTTTCAGATCCTCTAGAGAGGACACTGTGCAGTCCACTTTTTACCCTCAGAAAAGCTTCCCTGACAAAGGCCCTGTTAATGGAACTGAGCAGATTCAGAAAACAGTCACTCCTTCCTACAACCGCTTCTCAACCAAACCTTACACAAGTGCTGCACGGCCCTTTGAGCGCAAGTTTGAAAGTCCGAAATTCAACCACAATCTCTTGCCAAATGAAGCTCAGCATAAACCAGAGTTGCCATCAAAATCTTCAAATTCTCCTCAACCAATTTTGAAAGCACACAGCTCATCGCAGCCTCCTGACTTTGAGAGTGGAACGGACACCTATGCTGTACAGGTCGACAAGTCTAAATATCAACCAAATAACGTTAATGCTGTGCCTAAAGCCATTCCTGTAAGGTAAGCTGCTGCTCCTTCCCTTTCCACTTGTACATCTACAGGTCATCTGAAAATGAAAAACAAAGCTTTTTTTTAATTCTCCTTCCAATTTCTGTAGGTATTATAGTTGAAAGATTGATGCTATTGTTCTAAATTCTGCCAAAGGATAGATACTTAAAATGTGTTTGATGTGCCTGTACTGGTGGCATGTCTTTACTTCCTATTTCTCATACTAAATTATAAATTTTCTGGTAGATAGCAATAATTTGTCCTCACAATTCTTTCCAGAAGATGGAATTAATTTCTAAAGATAGCTATTGCAGCAAATTTTATTCATTTTGTGCTTAGAGAGACCTCATGGGACATGTGAATAAGGGATACTTTAAAAATACTTGTGAGAAGAGAAAGTAACTTTTGCAGTTTCATGTTGGTGCTCTTTACTGCGAGACAAACTAGCAGCTGCTTATTTGCAGCTCATGCTTGCACAATATGCTTTAATGTGTAAGAACTATGTCAAGAGTAACAGATACTGTTACAATCTTAAGCTATTTGCTTTTGCAGAACAGTGTTTAAGTGATATTTTATTTCAACATAATAATAATGCGTGAACCTTAAGACTTAAAATTTTGCTGTTTGTCTTATATGTTCTTAAGCTCCTGAGAAATGTTTTATGCTAGGTAGTTCTGTAGACTGCTACATTTTGGAGTTACTGGCTCTTTGAATGAAATTCTTTTGAAACTGTTCTGAAAACTTCATCAAGGTACCTTGAAGTTACAAGTTTCTCTTTAGTTATAGCCTGGCACCCCGGAAAAATGTGTGTAATTTTTTTTTCTTGCAAGCTTTGTTTTCCATATATATGTATGTAAAAGGGTTCACTATTACTTGAATAAGAATTAGTAATTCTTCTGGTAAAAGAGTCAGAATGGGGTTTTGGGACAAAAAATAAACTTTCCGTTGCATTCATTTTTATGAAGCTGAATGTGTAGCTGGGATAAGGTCTTCCTGTATAATGCCAGAAGCAGGCAGTTGGAAATACAAGATTCAAGTGATCTGAATTCTTGCTTTAACTACTTGCTGAATGCTTTCAGAGTTGGTGAGAGTTGGTGGGGTTTTTTTGTTGTGTTGTTTTGTTTGTTGTTGGGGTGTTTCTTTCTTTGCTTTGGGGTTCTTTTTGGGTGGAGTGGGTTTTTGCCGCAGAGTTTCAGGAGGAAATATTGATAAAACTGCTAGGCTTTCTGTCTTTTCAGCCCTACAGCACTTGAGGATGAGGAGGAGGAAGATGGACACACTGTTGTAGCCACAGCAAGAGGTGTATTTAACAGCAATGGTGGTGTATTGAGCTCCATAGAGACTGGAGTTAGTATTATTATACCACAAGGAGCCATTCCAGAGGGAATAGAGCAAGAAATATATTTCAAAGTCTGCAGAGACAACAGTATACTTCCACCTTTGGATAAAGAGAAAGGTAACAGCTGGAACTGTACACTGTTCTGTTACTTAATACAATTCTTTTCTAACAAGAACAAAACAGAATATGAAAGTAACCTTGATATGCTCCAATAGTTTTCATTTTGAGATTGTAGTGTGTTCTACTGAAAAGTCACTTGAGTGAAAAATACTCTTGTGCCTTTCTTTACTGAGAGGTCTAAACGTTTGTATTTTTCTCTAAATTGAGTTACTGAGCAGCTCTGCAATGTAATTGTGTAATACTTTGAATGTATGTCACAAAAAGTAACAGATTTTTTCCTTCTCTCTCACTCTAGGTGAAACACTTCTTAGCCCCTTGGTAATGTGTGGGCCTCATGGACTAAAATTCCTGAAGCCAGTGGAGCTGCGCCTGCCACACTGTGCGTCTATGACCCCTGATGGTTGGTCTTTTGCTCTAAAATCCTCCGATTCCTCGTCGGGTATGCTGTCCTCCCTCTGTCCTTTTGGGGCTTTTGGGTGCTATCGTATAATTTAAGTTATTTTGGCTAAAGGTGATGCTGTGTAATATAAAATCTCAATCATTGTATTTGTGTCAAACTCTCCCATTTCACTTTCATTACAAATGTCTTTCTTACATTTACTCATGGTGCAAATTCATAGCTAGAACCATGATAGCAGAAAAAGAGTAATATCTCTAGTCTATTAAATATTACCGTATTTTTCTATTCTGTCTTCTTTCTTGAGGACTGCTACAGCTGAATACACTTGAAATGATAGTCGCACTAAAACTGAGAGGAAATGAATATGTACCTCTGATTGGCCTTTGTAACATAACTGGTGTTTGTCTGTTGCTTAATTAACCATATAGGACTCTGGCAAATCTTAACAATCTGCATGCTCATAAATCATGATTTAACGCTTGTTAACTGTTTCCATGTGTGCAAGTTGATGCTAACAATTGGGTCATTTAAGAAAACTATAGTGTTCAGTAAAAGCATTTACAATTTATTCTAATGTAGCTGTTTTTTCCAAAAGACTTTTCTTGCTTGCTCCTACCTATCTCTCCTCTACTGCCTTTATCCAGAAGTCTCTGGTTGATAGTAAAAGTTGCAACTAGGTTGCAATTTTATTTACCTGTTCATTTTTACCTCACTGTGGCTTTCTGGGATGAGGGAGAGAATGTATTGGCTGAAATTGTCAGCGAGGAGCCTAATTGAGAATTCTGGGCAAGTTTCAAGCAATTTCATGAAACGGCTGTGAGGTTACAGAGATTTAAAAAGGAATGTTTGCACATCTGGGGAAAAAGTCTTAAGGTTTTATTCAGCTACTTTCAAAATTTATGGTGGAAGATTCAAGCCATTAATGTGCACATGTGATCTGAGTACTGAGTGAAAAATGTATTTCTGTATACAGCATTTAAGCCACCATGTATGCATACCTTCTCTCACCAATGTATCTATCACTGTCAACACCAAAGCACTGATGCTTTGAAAAATTAAAGCATCAATCCCCTTCATGGGGAATCAATAATCTAGAGGTATTAATGGCAATAATTTTTAGTTGTTTTTTATAAGCTATTCTATGCATGTGTTGCATGCATCTATTTAACAATGTGTGTATACATGGCAGTGTTAAAACACGGGCTCAGAAACTATAGGGTCCCAAAAGATACGACAACTATGTACAAAACCAACACAGCACTTCCTTTGTAACTAATAGCACCTGTTCATGAACTTACTTGAAGTGAAGGGAGAGGACTCAAATGATCTAAACAATAACTGAAGTTACTGAGACATTTTCCTCCCTTTCCAAAGTGGGATGTGTGTGTGCGCGCATGTGTGGGTGAAAGCAAGAGCGTGTATATTTAAACCCTAACACTTTCTGTACTGTAAATATAACACCACATTCTGTTAATCTGAAATGGGATGTATATCATAACATTGCTCTTTTGAGACAAACTTAAAAATTAGGCAATTCTGTCTTATGATATGTAAGTAGACCATACTGTGTCTTAAATAAATTATTGTTTTCTCTCTTTCTAAATTAGTTGGTTATGGGACTCTGATTCTTGGGGTGGCTTTATTATAACAATTTATAAAATTCTGGGGTTTTTCTCTCTTCAGTCGTCTGCTCTACCTCATCTTTTCTCAATGTATCCATGTTCTGTCCTAAAAGTGACATTCATTTGCACTTACTAACATCTTTTCTGCCACATTTAAGCCTCATACATTGGTATTTTACTCTTCAACCCCTGTAAAAGCTTAACTGATTCTGGTATTAAAGCTGACTGGGAAAAAAAGTTGCCTTTTATGGCCATACTGATTAGAACATAAAAAAATACTGAGTGATATCTTTATTTTCCTTTTCAAAGCAGTTGTATGGGAAAATATGGGAAAAACATCCTGTATCTTTACTATGTATTTAGAAGGAAAGGTTGGAAACAAGTCTGCCTGTCTCATGTGCAAGACTAGGACCCGACCGTCTTACAGTTTTGTTCTACTCTTTTAATACATTTGGTCATATGAGTTTGGAATGGAATTTCCCGAATCTGTAAAAGGAAAAATTCTCCAGCATTATTGAGGTTTTTGACTGAAATAAGCAGTCTCAGCTGGTTGCAGTAAATTTGTTTGTTTTCTCTGACTATACACCAGCCACTTCTATTCTTTGTCACTACGTTAGATGTTGCCATCTCTCAGTGCATTGTGTACTTCATTTTGTTTTCATGAGTTCAAGAAAAGTACATGGAATTTGTATCATTCTCACTTAATACTGAGGTGTCAGATGTTTGCTCAGGTGTGTGACTGGGTTCTTTATCTTGTTACCCGTTTCTCCTCAAGGCAGATTTATTTGGCCAAGCTATTTAATGTCATTTATCTGAAAGACTTAAGAGAACTTCAGTGCATTTTTCACTTTCTACCATAGTGGGATGATCACACCTTTTGTGTAGTGGCAACACTTGGTAGTGATTTTAGGCGGGTAAATGAAAAGTACTGTCTCCACTTAAGGGACAATTGACTCTGCAGAGGGAATGTAACCTTTGATCTGGTGGGACAGCAGCTGATGACATTCTGTTGTAACAGATTGTTACCCAGAACCTTTAACCATGAGTAGATAAGATTTGTTGTAAGGATTTTTATGTACCAGTTAACTGGAATACCTTTTAGTATTTCAGGCTTTTAAACACATATACTGGATGTAGCTGCAAAATGACTACAATCCTGTCTACAATTATTTTCATCATAGAAAATAAAACTACCAATGTGTCATAGTGCTTAGTTACAACATGACTTCTGATTTGCCTCATCTGTGCTCAGAACCGTTCCAAGACACTTCAAATGCATCTTACCCACATTAGCTTCTAAAATTTCTATTTTTTTTTTTAATTTTTTTTTTTGGTCAATGGCAGTTTAGGAAGGAGCCAGTGACCACCTGATTCACTGTTAACAAGTCTCAAATGGGAAGCACTATGTTGGTGCTGTAGAGTAGTATTAGTTATATTTACCAGTTCCTGAGTGCCACAGCATCTGTTTTGAATAACTGACCTATCCTGTGTTATATGAAAATGAAGGGGTATTTTTTTATTAATAACATGCAAACTGCAGGGTTTTTTAAACCATCAAACAGAACAGCAACAAAGAAAAAAAAACCAAAACAACAACAAAAGAGGTGTAGCTTCAGAACTTAAAAGCTCCTGTCCAAAAGCTTGGTTGTTTCAAGATGTATACTGTGTGACAGCAGATACTAAACACCAGCATTGTGTTTTCCTCCCACAGGTGACCCCAAAACCTGGCAGAACAAGTCTCTTCCTGGGGATCCAAACTATCTTGTTGGAGCAAACTGTGTCTCAGTCCTAATTGACCACTTCTAAATATTAAGTTAGCTGACTGAGTAAATAATATGAAACTGAGATGGACCTTACATATAAACTGAAACACTCTATCAAGTATTAACTGTTCTATAAGTGATAATGGATCTTAGTGTTTAAGCATCTTGCTTTAACTAACAATGAATTAGCAAGTACATTCTTTGAACCATGGTCACAATACATGCCACAAGCAGGGAGTGTACAGGGGGAACAAGGGTTTTGCAGGTCCTGTATGCTTTGGTTTGGTTGTTCTTGTGTGTTGGGTTGGGGGAACTAACTTTATTTCATACTTCAGTGTTGAAAACACAGATTTTGGCCTGCGTTTTTTGCAACTGTGTGTTTTTAACTCACAAGACTACCTTTTGGTCTCTGGTTTTTAAATTACTTTTGGTGTACATGTCCAATGAAATGGCAGTCAGCTTGTGGTAGCACAGTTCAGATGTTTTCCTCTGCTGGGAGGTAATGCAAACACATCTACTTGCTGTATATGGAAACATTGTCCTGAGAACAAGAGGGAGGGGGAAAAGCATGTGGGATGACTATGGTTCAGATGCCTCTGTGGATTTGTAAATTAACCACATTATTACAGACCTATTAACCAGCAGGGATGCCTTACCCTCATGTTTTTAATAGTCTTAGCTCTCATAGTTCTCTGTATTAAGTTTGTATGGCTTTTGTGCTTACTTAGATATTATTATATCATGAGAGACTTGGGGGGGGTGGGGAACAACAACAAAAAATTGTGAGTTTGGTTTCGAGAACGAGCATTGTTTGTGTTCATCAGCCAGAAGAGAACCAGAAGAAAATGATGGTATGTTTTCTGCTATGCATTTGAAAATTTATAGATGTTATAGACCGCTTGTATATAATGCGTGCATACCACTTTTGTTTTTGGTTTGTAAATTAACTTTTATAAGCTTTACCTTTTTATATATATAAATATATATAAAAACAAACGAAGTTTCTTAAGGATATCTTTGTATTCTCATACCTTTTGAGCCTTGAACTTTGACATCTGCAGCAATAAAGCAGCATTTCTACAATATACGAACGAGGACATTTTTTAAAAATGCACAAAGTTGTTACCTTTTAAAGTGCTGCATTTAAAGAATATAACTCGGAATTCTCTACTTTGATTAAATTCTTGAAAAGTATCCCTACTGTAATTTGTCATAAGGATGCTGTACTATGTGCCCTGAAATGTATTTTTTTACTAATAGACAATTTATTACGGCACAATGGCACTACTACTGTTTAGATAATATACCACTGCATTCTGTTAATGAGTTATTAGCTATTCAGGTGTGGCTGATTTTTTTTCTCTGCAGTTATTAAAATTACACGTTTCTAAATATACAGAATAAAACTGTTTTTAAAATAATAAAGATGATTGTAGTATCTTATTGTTTCTGAAATGCATTGATGTGTACATAACACAATTTTGATTTTATTTTTTCTATGTAAGTAGAGAGCTGGATCTGCCATATGTTCATACGTGTAGCCAGAACTCCACTGTGTGGAGTCAGTTTGAGCTGTGTACAGCAGGGCTTCTGAAATGATGAACTCCAGTGTGGATCCATTGGAATTTCTCAGTACAAGAGTAGGAGTGGTAGACTTCCCTCTTGGCTCATTACATTAGGCTAGTTTACCTGTGACACCTAACCTTCCAAAATCCTTGGTAGTGTTCTAGCATGTAGATGTACACATAGTATAGCTCTACTATTTTAAAGTTATTCTTACAGAATCCCATTACCTGCTTGGAGTATTCCATGGCTAACTAGTATTATCCTATCAGGGAAAATAAATTCTTACAGATAATTTTTTTTTTAATGCTGGGAAACAGTGCGTAACCTTAATGTTTCCTTTCTGTACTTCTACTTACAAGTAAGCTTTGTTTCTCAGGCATGACTTAGCCCAGAAGATGCCCTTACTATTGTTGCAATTCCTCCTCATGCCTTATCTCACTCACCAGCAGAGCATGAAACACGGAAAAGTCCTCGGCTTAGGGTAAGCACTACTTGTGAAAACTAAAACATCAGTGTTACCAGCAGTGATGCAATGAAGTTCAAAGCACAGCACAGTACCACCTGCTAAGGAGAAAATAAGGAGATCTATCCCAGCCAAAACCAGGACCGTGTGAAGCACTGCAAAAGGAGTCAGTCAGTCTCACTTGAGGCACCCTGGTATTACACTGCATGGACTGTTCACAGTTTGTGTCGTGGGTATCTGGAGTCCAGCATGCTTTAAGATTTAACTGTCCTGTGTTGATTTTACTGAAGTGATCCAGATGACATCTCTCTGCTCTTCTGTTTTTAAAGAGTGTAGGATTATGTCTTTCTGTCAAAACAACAAAAAAAATAACAGCTTTTGCTCTGTTGTCATTTCATAAGTGAGATGAAACTGAACCTGTTCAAAAATGTGGCAACTCTACTGTAAAACAGCCTGTTGGAGAAATTGTCTTTTGCTGTCTCTCTGTAGGAATGTTTGTCAGAGCGTCAATGTGAGCCACGTGAATGCCTTCTTTCTCGTTAAATCCCATTATTTTGGGTTAAAACATGACTAGTGAGAATAACTAGGCTAAAATAACACATTTTAAATTAATAGTGGTTTTGAAATCTTTATCCTTGCAAGTAGTTGCATTCCTTATATGTTTTATATAGGCTAGGCTCTGCAGGAGGTAAGTTCACCTGTAACACTGTAATATTGTTTCTATTTACTGTTTAATGTGAAGTTCAAAAACTGGATCTCCTAATTCTTCCTATTTGTCTCAGAGGTGTTGTGGTCAGCTTCGGCCCTACAAATTATACAGAAGTGTTAAAAATGTAAATCTCAAGTCTTGTGTTCATTTTTAATAAGGACCTTCAGTGCTGGAAACAGACAGGGGATACAGAATTGCTGTTTCTATCTGATTCAGTTTTTTTATAAAGATATTTTTTATTATTATTTTTTCAAGAAAATTAGCAATACATATTCAGTGATACATACACAAATAATTACATTTGTAAAAGTAATCCATTCCTACCAGCCTGGGTTAGGTGAAGCAGATCAGCAATGGTAGGGTATGGCTGAAGATTCTCTGCTGCAATGTAACCTGGAGCAGGTGGTGGAAATCAAAGCCATACAGCTTTGGAGAATAGATGTTGGTAAGCATATTTGACAAATATGTTCTTAGTATCTAAGTCACTTCAGGAAGGCAATGTATGGACTTTTCTGGCTACTGGCTCCATCCACTGGCGATATCAAATGATTGGGTAAAAATATTTTTCATCATTTCTAAACAGTGCCTTATGATCTTGTAAGCAAGGATCTGAGAATAAATACACTTACTATTACATTGTCTTTACAGAATTTGCACTACTTGTCTGTTTTATGCAAAAGTTGATGAGCACAGTAGATAGGCTGGGAGAATCAATTACAACCTGTTAAGGTAAGTGCTGGTTGAAAACATTGTAGTTAAGGTATTAGTTTCTAAATTATATTAAAAATAATCAACATTTTTCTCAGAAATATTTTGGCCTGCTTCCCTTTCAGCTTTGGGGCTTAGAATTTGGGGGAAGATCTAGGAAAAAGGCTGTAGAATTAAAGGAAAATGAGATCAGGTATTTAGTCTGATAGGTTCTTTTATATCTTTGCATACTTAATTACAGACATCTAAAAACCTTGCCAGAGATTTAGATGATGATCATGCCAGAGGGAAACCTGGCATTGGAAATTATTCCTTGCAGGAAGAAGATGAAACATCTTTGCTAGAAGGATCATTCATAGTGCAGAGCCTGACAGAGAACTTCCAGTATAGATGGTGTAACAGTGAAACTGACTGCAGTGATTTCCCTCCTAATTTTATTGCTGTCCTTCCTGAATTCATGACCAAATATTTCACATTGCAAAATAAAAAGGTAACGTGGAATTAACATTAACTAATTACATTAGTGATACAGAAGTTTACATATTTGTTTACTGAAGTAGCATGTTAGTAAAGCAGTACATTGGGGAAATCAGCTTAGTGCTCAGGAAATAATTGCTTAAAATTAAGCTTTATCAGTATTGGCACCACTTTTTTTATTTCTGTCAGCAACACACTGAGGGCTTTTATAGCCCTTCACATGTCTGCTGAGAATTCAGGAGTGATGAAAGTGGGCTTGCATATCTTTCAGATACATTTCATATACAGACTTTCCTTTTTTCTTAATAATTGACATCTTCATGCTTCTAGGCAGTTTCAGAAGGTGATTCAGACAAGCTATTGCAGTAATATCTATGCAGCTGTGTCAGTCCCACTGAAATAAAGCTTACTCATCCCCAAGTCCCTTGTCCTTATGTGGATGCTGGTATAGAAGCCTGTGGGGTTGGTTTGGTTGCAAGAAACTGGAGACTTTTTGTTTTCTGTTTTGGTGGCATTTAAATATAATTTCCATAAATGTAATTTCTATTGTTTAATGGGCATAAATGGTAAGGAGTCTTGGCCTGTGATAGTAACAGCTGCCCAGTTTTAAACCATGCCAGTAAGAGGAGAGAGCAGTTTTTCACAAATGCTGAAAACTGTCACTGAGCAGGAAGAGTTTCCTGAGAGCCCATAGAGCTGCTGCTGCTGCTGTGTTCTGTTTAACAACACCCTCAACTCCAAAAAACACTGGCAAAGTTCCCCAAGAAACTTTGTGTTTTCTGATGAATTTGTGTATAGGATGCAAAACTATCCCGCAGTGAAGGTGAGGGAGGCTGGCATTGCTCTGGGGGCAAGAAGTTCAGAATTCACCTTTCTGCAATGTTAGAGTAGGTGATGAGAAAGCACAGAGTCTGTACACAAAGGTACTACGTTTTGTTTAAGTGAATAGCAAGCACTGTCCTGGCACACTCATAACTTTCACAATGTTTTCTGTTTCTCCTTTCTTTTGATGAGATAGTTCTCTTTGCTGATGACCTTGCTCCTCTGGCCTGTAGGCAGTAGCTCTCTAAAGTGTAGCATGGTAGGTAGTGAGCTGTGAGGCCAGCATGCTTTGTACTACTCTCTGTATGTGGTAGTGTCTCTCTGTATGTGTCTCTTCATTTCTTCCTGATGTGATCCTTGGGGTTTTTTAAATATCAAAAATAAAAAGCACCTTGCTGAGGCTTTCTAGTGATTGAGCCATGTATAGAAAATACAGCATGAATATTGTCATGCAAAAATACCTGCATGGAGTTCAGGACAAAATGACAGAAATGGAGGTGGAGGAGTGCAAGTCCTTGTGCGCATTGGTCCTTCAATTCCATCCTATTTTAAGAGAAAAAG